ACGTAGAAAATGTGTCAATCATTTTTATTATCAACAAAAATAGTCATATGGATGATAGATCGAAACGTCTAAAATAAGTGTCTATAATGAAGAGAAAAATATGCTATTGGATTATTATCAATATTTCTATCTATATTCGTCCTAGCAACGATAACGATAAATCAGACAAGCAAGAATGTAAATATGTAACACAGTAATAGAACCAATTGTTTCATAGTGTTTTGCTAGATGTCATGCATAGTCGTTTAATATTGACAATAATAATGTCTATATACTCAATCATTCAAAAAAATTAAGTTAAGTAAAGAACAATAAATTTGGATGCATTCTTAATACTCACTCTTTTGTAATTCGAAGGAAATTCTAGTATCAATGCTTTTCTTTATAACAATTATGAAAAGAAAAATTTCATTTTTTCCCTTGATTTATTGAGTTAATCATGACTTTTATCAATCAATGGAATAGTATTTTTAGCATTAAAAAGTCTATCTTATTTATTCTCTGAATCTACCACAAAAAAAGTTGCATTTGTTGGGAAAAGGAAAGAAATAGATACATATATGTATATATCGTATTTCTAATCTTACGATATATAGAATAGAAGAAAAAGAAATATCCAGCACAAATGATTCGCATTATAGCAATACTGTTAAAAGATCATATCATTTTACAAGCATCAATTCAATGAATATAATCTGTGCGTTTGTTTTCTATATCGATGAAATAATTGTAAATTTGTGTAGAACCGTAGGTTCAATCTTTATTGTAAAATAACAAGAACAAGAACGATAGAGAGAACGGGAGATATACGGCACATATACGTATGTATGCGTGTTCATATATATAGGATCACGATAGGGAATAATCCCATACATAGATGAGAAGAAAAGAAAGAACCATATATATATGATAGAAGAATACAAGGAATGTTCCAACATGATCAAAGGGAATATACCAATATGTATATCACTAGATGTATTGGATATTTCCTACAATAATAAAGTTGTTAATTAAATACTAATTATGGTTAGTTAAAGAGAAATTTAAATGGAATAATACAAATAAAATACAAAAAATAATGTCTGTTTCATGTTCTTATTCTCTGAGTACTATCGAACAGTGAATGTTAAACATTCTCTAACGAAATATAATGACAAATAGATTAAAGAAATTACATTATGAATCTTATTTTAAAATACAACATTGCATGATACAGAATTCAATGAAATTATTATAAAAATGAAATATTTAGTTTATATTAATAATGAAATACATATAAGATAATAATATGACTTTATATTTACTAATAAAATGGTTGTACCTAGCTGTGTACAAAGCCGACTAGCCATAGACACACGTGCACATAGACACTTTCTTACGTTTATATCTAAAATAGTAGATAAATATATATTCATTTCTTTTATAAATTTATATTCAAAGTCATGGCAATGGCAAACAACAACACACAATGTTTTACATGTCATGAAGAAAACAATACATATACTTGTAAAACATGTTCAAACGAACTTTGTTTTATACATTTACCAGAACACCAACAAAGATTAAATAAAGAATTATATCATATTATTGATCATTATAATATATTTAAAGAAAGAATTGATGAACAAAAACAACATCTACATAATAACTCATTAATGAAACAAATTCATCAATCGGAAATAAATTCAACTGAAATAATTCAACAAACCCCAAAAGACTGTAGAGAAATTGTCAGAAAATCATCGCAAACATATACTAATGATATTGAAATGAAATTTAATGATATACGTGAACAAATAAAACAAATGCAAAATGAAAATGGCTTTAGTGAAATAAATTTAAATCATCTAAGAAGTCAATTATTCAAAATTACAGAAGAATTAAATAATCTGCCAAATATTCCTATTCATCACGATTCACAAGCATTTATTAGCGAAGTTTCAATTATTTCAGAAAAAAGTAAGTAGTTAAAAAATAATATCTGAAACAAAAATTCGTATTTTCTATGAATTTATGTTAAAAACAAAGAAAAATAATAGCGAGAAAGATAAAAAATTGAAAATATGATTGATTTATTTATTAATTAAATTTACTTGTATGTAAAAGAAAAGAATGATAGGATTTGTAATAATGTTAAATTGAAAAATTAATTTTTCTACAGAGTTTGTTAATTATTCTAAGAAAAAAAAGTAATTATCTAAGGCGTATTGTTAGAGTTTCATCACATTAGATATTTTATAGCAAAGTTCTTGATATATTAGAAAAATAAAAATATTTTTCTTCTCTTTTCTTCATCACAATTAAAAAGATATTTTTCTATGTATCAAACAGAAAAAAATGAGATTTTCTAATAACTATAATAATAATTAATCATTTGATTTCTTTATTATTTTTATCGAATATATTCTTAGAAAATAAATCTATTCTATAGAGTTTATAATACTTACACAATAGAAAATAGATAGATGATATGCTATAAAAGATTTTGTGATTGTTAGCAAATGTGATATTTTATTTATCGATTTATATTGAGAATGAATTAATATGAAACAAGTGTATTCGAAAATGTATAATCTAGTAAAGAATATTTTCAACTTTTCAAATGCTTTTAAGTTCGAATTTTGCATTTTCAATAGAAACTAATGAAATCTAAATAATCTCCAAAGATTGAGTTTTTCAGATTTTCTATTTGAAATTAGAGATATTATCTTCTATGATTATGCAGAGCAAAAACATTAAATGATTATATTTTGATCTGAGAATTTACTTAGAGATGATATAGTCATTCATTACAGTAATGACGCTCTGGAATGATCAGCTGTAAACTGTTTCCTTTTTCAGACATTTGTAATATTCTTTGTTTTATATTAAATCTTTTCAAGACTTGAATATTTTTAGAAGAAAATATTATTTTCATCTGAAGATTTGAAGATGTTTTACTGGTGAATAGATTTATCAATGAATAAACTCTCAAATACGAGTTTCATCATTCTATTTATTAAACATATATCATATCATAAATTAGAAATCTTTGTGAAATGATTTTAACTCACGACAAAAAGTCTAAAGAAATTTTATCATTCGAGCTTTTCCCCATCTTATTATGATCTATATTGAATATACATACGGAAGAAGAAAACGAATCAGAATCTATTTATTGAGTTTTTAAAACTTCATCTATAAAACTTTCATGAGTTTGATATTAGCTGCTAGGAAAAATGTCAATATATATCAATTGTTGAATATTGAAAAGCATTCGATGAATTATCATAGTTAAATATTTATCTAGACATCGAATTGAGAGACACTTGCGGAGTATGGATGTGACGTGGGTATCATTCTTCTCTCTTTGTACACTAATATCCACCCCCATATCCACACTCACACCTTCAAGATATTCTAACACATTTCGTTTTCTTTTCAAATTTTTGTTTCACAAAAAATAAATCAACAGAATCTTTAATCCTATTGAAAGTTTTGGTTTCTTCCCTAATGAAATATTTGTCGAATTGTATCAAAAATGAATTATCTTTAAATAAAAATTCTTTCTCTTCAAAATTTCCATTCAAAAGGACATAAATTTCAAAACCTTTTTTTTTTTCAAATAAAAATAATTTTTCAAATAAAAAACTTCAAATGTTTTAAGTTCTTTTTCGACAAACTCTTTTTAAACTGAACAAAAAAATGCAATAAATTTTGTCTTTTTATAAAACATGTTTATCAACATTTTATTCAAAATTAATTTTCTCTCTCTTGTTGAATAAAAAACAAACTTCCTTTTTCTTCTTTCTCTCTTTCTTTTCATAAAAATCTTTGTTTTCATTCTTTTCTAGAACCAAAATTCAATAAATGGAAGCAAAATGCCATTACTGCAGCCGCTGGAAATGGATCAGGACACAAATTAAATCAATGCTATCGTCCTGGAGCAATCTTTATTGATAAAAAGAAAAACATTTTCATTGCTGATACGTACAATCATCGTATTACTGAATGGAAATGTACTGCAAAGGAAGGACTTATCATTGCAGGCGGAAATGGGTCAGGATCTCGAATGAGTCAATTAAATCAACCAAAAGATGTGATTGTTGATCAAAAAAATCATTCGATCATCATTGCTGATTTTGGGAACAAACGAGTGATCCAATGGATGAATCGAAATCAACGAATTATCATTGACAATATTGATTGTTGTGGCTTGGCAATAGATAAACATGGATTTCTTTATGTTTCAGACTCGTACAAGAATGAAGTGAAACGATGGAAAATGGGTGAATACAATGAAGGAATTGTAGTGGCAGGTGGAAATGAAAAAGGAGATCAACTCAGTCAACTTAATTCTCCAGGTTATATTTTTGTTGATAAAGATCAATCTGTTCATGTATCAGATAGATACAATCATCGTGTGATGAAATGGAGAAAAGGTGCAAAAGAAGGAACAATTGTAGCTGGAGGAAATGGTTTCGGACAAAATCTCAATCAATTGTCTTATCCTTACGGAGTAATTGTTGATAATTTGGATCAAATCTATGTGGTAGATAGTGGGAATAATCGAATAATGGGTTGGTGTGAAGGAAAAGAAGAAGGTAAAATTGTCGTTGGTGGAAATGGTCAAGGAAATCAATCAAATCAATTGAATAAACCCATGGGTTTATCTTTGGATAATGAAGGCAATCTTTATGTTGTTGATTGTGGAAATCATCGAATTCAAAAATTTGAATTAATCTTGTAAATAAAACTTTGAGTTTTTTAAAAAAAATAATTTTTTGTTAAACAAAAATCGATAAATAAAATGAAAAGGAAAAGTGAAGTTTTGTTGTTGAAAATGAATGAAAAAAATCGAATAAACCTTAAAGAAAAAGAAACTTTTTAATAAGAAAACAACGTAGAAAAATCTTTTTGGCTTTGCTTTCTTAAAAATTGAATTAAATTTGATAATTTTGATTAAGAAATTCGAGTAAATAAATATTAAATTTGTCATCTGTTGTTGAATTTTACGAAAGAAAAGAAAAAAAATATTTTGTAGTTTGAATTAAATTAGATAGAAAGTATTCGAGAAGAAGATTTTGTGTTTAATAAAATTCTGTTTGAGTATTTTCATTTGATGAAAATAGTCAAATGCTTTTAACTTTTTGATCTGATCAAATTTAAAAATTGTTTGAAAACGAAGAGAAAAGGAATCTTAGATGAAAACTTGAAAATAAAAATCGAATTGAAAACAAATTTTGTTGAATAAAACAAATATTAAAAAGATTTTCATATACATGAAAACAAAAACACAATTCAAATGAAAAGCGGACCAATAAATCCAAAGAAAACAGAAAACAATAATAAAACTTCTGAAATGATACAAAATTCAAATTTGATTTTTGATTTTAAAGAGTTTGATGAAATGGGAATTTTTTCGTCTGACATGTATTAATAAAATTTACAAAGTAATTTATTTTACGTTTGAACGAACTTAAAATAAATATTTAATAATTTCTTCTTTAGTTTCCTTATCATGTTCAAATGAATTACAAGAAAATATTTCTTATAAGATTAAAAGTAGCGGAAGTTGATAAACATTTAATTAAATGATTAAGTTTCATGACGAAATCAATTTTAAAATCGATTTTTCAAAATATTTTTAGATTAATCTGTCAACAATACATGTGACTGCGGAAAAATATATTTTGTTCTCAAAAATAAAATAAAAATTATTTATATGATTTGATATTTACTGAGGGAATTTAGGACAAATCTCTAGATCTTGAAGTGGATTTTAAACTTAATTCTGCATCGAATGAGGCCACCTAAGAGGGACACATCGACTGAGAATGGGTAGTTTCACTTAAAATACTGGCTGGATGTTGCTATGGGTCATTCAAAGTTCAATGACCATACCCTTGTACAAAATGTGAACATATAAAAGATCGTTTTTCTTGAATAGAAAAATCAATGAATGATAATTGTATCAGATTTAAATTGAGATGATGAATATTTATGTTCAGTATTTTCTTCGGTGATCTATTCAGAATTAATATCATTAGATACAAAAAAAAACTCTGACATAATATTGATCATATTATTAAATGTATTTATCATGAAATAAATACAAAACCTACAGGTTAGTTTCATTTTATATGTACTGATTCATTTAAACTCAAAAGCCATTAGATAGAGATATTTTTTCGGTCTTGTTGTCCACATATGAATAATTTCTCTAATAAAATCAAACTTTATTGTTATATAAAATTATATTTACCTATTATTTTCTCCTTATACGTTTTTGTTTAAATTTGCTGTTCATAACTAAATATTTCATTTAGAAAATCATTCAACAAATGAAATATATAAAGCAAAAGAATATGTTCAAGTGTAATTAGAAATTTATTTCTCAATTCTTATTGTTTTTTTCTAAATTAATCCAAATTCATTCGGAATCTTTATTTAATAAAAATAAATGAATTCTATTATAATATGTTGATGAAATACGAAATCAAATTTTAAAACTTTCCAACTATTTATTTCATGTTTTCGATCAATATAATGACATTTATTCAAACACCTAAAAATATATTAGCAATTATATCTTATTTAATTTGTATTCAATTAAATAATTTAACAAATCTACTCTTAGATTTTATTTTGCTGTGAAAAACATTATATAAAATCTTTTCCTTTCTCTTGTTTATTTATATATAATAAACATTCAATGTCAACAATGATTGATTTACTTCAACCATGAAATGATGATACAAATAATTATTCACCAACTGAATATACACAATTGTTAAATAGATTTTTAGCATTTGATAAAGAAATGTCAGAAATAGCTTTTTTATTTAAAGATTGTCAAACAAAAATAGACTCAACTTTAAAAAAACAATTTGGTATTGTTGTTGCGACAAAAAAGAAAAAGAAAATTGGTAAAAAGATAAAAAAATGAATTGAAGATAATATTAATAGGCTAGAATTAAATTAAACAAACATTATTTTGAATGTCTTGTAGATAGTCTTTAAGAAAAAATAAACTTTAATATCCTATAATTAGTTATAGATTTATAGATTATTTATTGAATTTACTTCTTCTCTAAAGAAATCTATAAATAATATTTTATTCAAGCTTCTCTTATTTAATGAAAATAAAACACATAAAAAATAATGTCTGTTTCACCATTTTAATGCAATTTCTTTCATGTTATTATTCTCTGAGTACTATCAAACAGTGAATATTAAACATTTTCTAACGAAATATAATGACAAATAAATGAAAAATATTACATTACGATTTATTTTTTAAATACAATGTGCATGATACAGAATTAAATGAAATTATTATAAAGATAAGACATTTAGTTTATATCAACAAAAAAATATATATAACTTAAAAGTTTGATTCTATATTTACTAGTAAAATGGTTATATTTAGATGTGAAAATAGTTAGTCAGTCACATACACATGTGTGTACATAGTCGACTAGCTATGTACACGTGCGTACATAAACACTTTCTTAAGTTTATACCTAAAAAAGCAGATAAGTAAATATTCAATTCTTCTATACACTTCTATTCAAAGACATGGTAAAGACAAACAAAACACAATGTTTTACATGTCATAGAGAAAACAATACATATACTTGTGAAGGATGTTCAAACAGATTTTGTGTAATACATTTAACAGAACATCAACAACTGTTAAATGAACAATTACATCATATTATTGATGATTATAATGAATTTAAACAAAGAATTAATCAACAAAAACAAAGTCCACTTAATCATTCATTAATCAAAAAAATTGATCAATGGGAAAGACAATCAATTGAAATAATTCAACAAAAAGCGCAGGAGTACAGAGAAGTTGTCATTGAATCATTACAAACATGTATTAATAATATTGAAATGAAATTTAATGATTTAAATAAACAAATACAACAACTTCAGAAAGAAAATGACTTTAACGAAATTCAGTTAAATCATTTAAGAAATCAACTGAAAAAAATTACAGAAGAATTAAATAGTCCGTCAAATATTTCTATTAAACAAGAATCACAATCGTTTATTAATGATATTTCATTTATTTCATTAGAAAAAAGTAAGTTTTTAAGAAATATACTACTTTTTGATAAAATTATTATTTAAATCAATAACAATAGTATTAATACAAAAATAGAAAATTGAATTTATTTGTATGTCAAAGAAAAGAATGATAGAATATAAAGCAGTATTAAATTAAAATTAGTTTCAAATTTTTATTTAGTAAAAACAAGACTATAAAATCTTTTCTCTTTTCTTTTCAAATTAAATATTTATCAATTTGTTTCAAAAATAAATTATCGTTCAATAAAAATATTCATTCTCTTCTAAATTTCGATTCTAAAAAACAACAAAAGATTTCTTTTTTTTTCTTCTCTCCATCAAAATCTTTTATTTACATCATTTTCTAGAATCAAAAACCAGCAAATGGAAACAAAATGCTACCAGTATGGCTGGTGGAAATGGAGAAGGACAAGAATTAAGTCAACTCAATCGTCCTTTTGGAATCTTTATTGATAAAAACAAAAATATTTTCATTGCCGATGATTGTAATCATCGTATTGTTGAATGGAAATATAATGCAAAAGAAGGACAGATCATTGCAGGTGGAAATGAAAAAGGAAATCGAATGGATCAATTGAATCGACCAACAAATGTGATTGTTGATCAACAAAATCATTCGATCATTATTGCTGATTCTGGGAACAGACGAGTAATTCAATGGTTGAATCAAGATCAACACATTCTGACTGAAAATATTGACTGTTGTGGCTTGGCAATAGATAAAAATGGATATCTTTATGTTTCTGATATTGTGAAGAATGAAGTGAGACGATGGAAAATAAGTGAATACAACAACGAAGGAATTGTAGTAGCAGGTGGAAACGAAAAAGGAGATGAACTCAATCAATTCAATCATCCTAATTTTATCTTTGTTGACGAAGATCAATCTGTTTATGTATCGGATACAGGTAATCATCGTGTGATGAAATGGAGAAAAGGTGCAAAAGAAGGAAGAATTATGGCTGGCGGAAATGGTGAAGGAGGAGATCTCAATCAATTGTCTTATCCTCGTGGAGTCATTGTCGATCATTTGGGTCAGATCTATGTGGCAGATTTTGGGAATGATCGAGTTATGCGTTGGTGTGAAGGAAACGATGAAGGTGAAATTGTTGTTGGTGGAAATGGAAAAGAAGATCACTCGAATTACCCTCGTGGTTTGTCTTTTGATGATGAAGGAAGTCTTTATGTTGTCGATTCTCTTAATCATCGAATTGCAAAATTTGAGATAATTTTGTGAATTAGTTTTGATTTTAGGAAAAAAGTTTTTTGTTAGATAAAAGATAGAAAAATAAATTTTATTTGAAAGTTTAAAATTAATCAATAAACATTTTCATTTAGATGAAAACAGAAGAAAAGAATTACGAAAGAAAAATGAACAAGAGATTGAAATAATACAAAGTTCAAATTTGATTTTTATTTTCAAAGATTATTGATGAAATGAAAATATCTTTATCTAATTTCTTTCAGTAAAACTTACAAAGAGATATTTTTTATTTTTCAAAGTAATTAAAATAAGCATTTGATAATTTCTTTACCATATTTAATTCAATTTGAGTGTGCGTGTAAAGGTATAAATGTGAAGTAAAAGTAGCCACACCCACACATCTCTAATATTTTCATCAAATCCCTTAAAACATGTACTGTTAGCATTATTTTTAATAGGACGAATTCTTCGTATACGTATTTTCATAATATGACTAATTTTTGTTAGTCTCACGATTAAATTGCTGTTATATTCATAACTATATCACGACAACCAAGGTCATAGATACACAGCTTTACGATGAGAAAAGAGAAAAGTCCGTCGTATCTTGATCGAAAACTCAAAGAGAGGCATTATACTATCGTGTATCCTGATAGTTAGGTCACTAGTCAAATAACAAGTTAAATTAGGAAAGCAGCAATCATATACGTGCTGACATATTCTATGAGTTAAAAATTGTAAAATATTTAAAGAGAATAAAAATCGATCTGTAATCAAAATCAAAGTATATATATTTATGTGTAAAGAGATCTAATCACTTTGATTTTTCTTTTTTTTGATCATGAATAATGTTGTTCGTTACAAAACACAATTATTTATACATTTTTGTTTCATCTATAAACAAACGTCTTTGCTGATATCATTAAATTTTTTTCAATAAAGTCAAAGAACAAAATAAGTTGGACGTGACTTTTGTTTGTTATATACTATGTGATATTGGCAGTGTCTCCAGCTTATATAACATACTTTAATGAATAATCTAACATCTTTATGTATCAAATTTCTCAGTCGACACCATTCTCACTAGAATATAAAACACTATTATTGACTAGTACATAATTAGTACAGCGTACACTGTAATTTCATGAATTAACTAAATTCTTTTTTCGTAGCAAAATATAAAAAAATATATTGCATAAATTATAAATTGAAGTGTCTTAACTATTTTTGATGTTGAATCTGTTAGAGTAATATATCAAAATATATTTATTATCGCTCCTTTTTGTTCTTTATTCCTCTTCTTTCAGAAAACAAGAATCATCCTTCTGTTCACAATATTCACTCCCTAAATGCTCAACGATATCAGTAGTACGTGAGGAAATGAAAGAGAATCAGCATTCTTTATGGCAAGACATATATCATGCCATAACAATATTGATTACTATTATGTTTAAACTATCTAAAGTAACCTTTCCTCGATTAATGTTCTCTTTTCTTTCTGTTCTGTATATGTCTGTGTAATGTTTTCTTTTTCTTTTTTTTTCGTCTGTTCTCTATCACCACTATATCATATTATTTTGCGTTTGTTTTTATATTACGTGGAAAGAGCAATTGTTTGATAGGAATGTTGTTGAGTCATGGTGGGAAATACATAATTTTTCCCTCGAAATAAGATAAAAGGAAGAGTATTAATCTAAATTGATAAAGCTTTCTTTTGCTACTACTATTATAGAAGGTGAGTCGCTGAGAAAAAAAGAAGTAAACGATTATAAAGACACACAAATGAGAACAGTGATAGACACCCTCATATTTTTAATTATAAATTAATAGACAAACGTTTGCTCTACAATATCAATTCAATGATAATAAAGTTTCTAAAAGATTGTCTATACATTAATTAAGTGATTTTTCAGGATATCTAAGTATGATATGAAACAGTTATTATTTTCTTGCAGAAACCATATCAGCTCATGGATAATCATCGTTTACGTGCTATGATATTGAAATTACAAGATCGTCTTAGTAATGATGATCGAAAACGTTTACATTTCTATCTTGGTAATGATGTACCACGACGAATTCGAGATGATCCAACACTTGGTGGAACACTTAGTCTTATGGATTCTCTTTTCGATCAAGATAAAGTAAACGAAAAAGATTTTACTTTTCTTATAAATGCATTTGATGAAATTCAATGTATTGATGCTGTGAAATTATTACGAGGTATATTTTTTGTTTTAATTCATTTCCTTTTGTATTTTATTAATCTAGAACATTGGAGACACAACCAATCAGATGCACATAATCAATCAGTTGAAAGTTTATCGATGATATTGCCACCAGTGATAAATCAACTTTTTGAAGATCTAGATGAAGATAAATATCCTATGCAACAACGTAAGTGTTTAACTATATTTATATTTTATATTTGTCAAAAATCTAATTTAGTTCTTGTTAATCAGAAAAATACTTGTGGTAATAACAATATAATGATCAATAGTAATAATACAAATATTAATCAAATACCAATAATGAACTGTGATGAAAAACCACAGCATCCAGAATTCAAAAAGAAACAATTATTAAAATCTAAAAAGATACTGTGGAAATGTTTATTACTATTTGTATTATTATCGATTATTGGATATGGAATATTAGCATTCTTTTCTATTCGGAATTTCGCTGATATTCGTCAGTTGAAAACATCGAATAATCAATCTAATAAAACGATTCAACAATTGAAGGATAAAGTGGAACAACTAGAAAAACTAAGTAATTAATATAGCCGTGTTGTATTTAAAACTAAACTCGACATGAGTAAGTTTCTGAGAAAGTCAAACGGTCATGGGACAATGTCATTCTAGAATTTACTGATTTTTTTATATATGATAGGAGGTAGTAAGATAAGTATCCCATAAAAATTTCAGCTCGATCAGGTTACTTTTTCTCACCAAAAAAATCAAAGCAACATCAAAATTTCTGGTAATTTTTTCCAGATTTTTGATTTTTTGTTTTTTCAGCCATCACTGCCAAGGTGTTGTACTTCAGCATAAAAGATTTCAGAAGTTTTCATCGATTCTTAAGGAATCTGTAAGCATAACAAAAAGATGTTTGTCATCAAAATGTTGATTGGCGGTATTCCGTATGCCAACAGTATACTTGGGAGTACTACCTATACACCTTTTACCTTTGATTCTTCAAAAAAAAGTGCTACTTTTTCTAACAACTCATCATCCACTCATTCAATGTATATATATATATATATATAGGGTATGGGTGGGTGTTCCATTATATTTATTCTCGCATCCACACCCACAGCTCGAAAACTTTTCATATTGTCATAATGTCACAAAGTTGATTATCTTTTTCTTTGTTATAGTGCCGACTTGTACGGATGGTGTTAAGAATCAAGATGAAAGTGATGTCGATTGCGGTGGTGCAATTTGCTCGAAGAAATGTTTACCTCAGCAAGGTTGTACGTCAAGCTCAGACTGTGCACGTAAAAACTGTGATACAAAGAGCAAGAAATGTCTAAGTAAGAAAATTTTTTAAATTCCTTTATATTGCTCAGATATCGTCTTTGTTAGTACTTAATGTATATAATTAACAAAGTTCAATCTGTGAAGAGCAATGTGAAGATTGATTCACTCTAAGTTTTGAACAAACTAATTTTTCGTTAAGTAGATCAAGTTAGTCAAAGAGTAAACAGTTCGTTAGACTATTATTTTCCATCATACAACTGTCTAATCCTAAGAAAAAGCGTGGTTTTACGTACAGTGAAAGTTTAATGTGATATTCTAAAAACAAGAATTTCAGAACGGAATGCCAGGTCATTATTCCATTTCAAAAATGTTGAAAACCAGGGTGTGAGTGTGAGTGCAAATTGAAGCGAGCATCCACACTGACACTAACATCTATACCTACCCTCAAGATGGTTCCCTACAAAATAGCAAGCGTTATTTGGAAAGATTCTCACCGAAAGTCCACATCTATCTTTATGACTTGAGCGTGACCGTTGCGTATCTAAGCAGTGGGTGTCAAAATTTAATGTCCACTGATTTGTGAAAGAAAATTAAAGAAGTTTTCCTCAATGTGAATAAAGTTTTTAAATAAGAAACAAGCAATAGTATCCATGTAGTTAGCTTATGTTTTTCTAATAACTATCTTTTGTTTTGTTTTGATTTCTATCTAGATCATACATTTGAAGATGAATTCAATCAAGACGGCGGGGTAGATATGAGTAAATGGAAACTCGACGTTGGGGGTAATGGCTGGGGAAATGAAGAAGAGCAGTATTACACTGATAATTATCGGAAGAATGCATGGTGTGAAAATGGGCAGTTGATCATTGAAGCACGAAAGGAAAACTATAAAAACAAGCGGTTTACATCCGCAAGATTGATAAGTAAACAAGCTTTTCTTTATGGACGACTACAAGTAAGTTCTTTGCTGTTTTTTAATAAGAAATTAAAAGTCAACACTTACGAACGTACTACACAATTCTATAGATTCGAGCAAAACTTCCATCCGCCAAAGGTACCTGGTCTTCACTTTATCTGGTGAGTAATTCGAATAACATAAAAAAAATTGTTACCATTAAAGCTAATTGCGCTTGACTTGCGTTTTTCATTAGATACCTGAGAACCAGACTTATGGAAATACTATGTGGCCAGACAATGGTGCAATTTATTTGATGGCACACCTTGGACATGACTGGACAACAGTTACTGCTGGCATTGCTACAAAGTCGAGCAATCACCAATGGCACGCGGTTGAAGTCAGTAATGCAACAATAGAATATATGATTTATACGCGTACGTTTTCGTATTTTATATTAGAAATGATTTAAACAATGTAATGTATTTTCTTTGTTTAGTTCAATGGGAACCAGACAAAATGGAAATGTTTGTCGGTTCCAATGAAAAACAAGCACTTCTGACACGTATCTTCGTTTGGGAAAAGAGTAATACAGATTGGACACAATGGTAAGCTGTGTAGAGTGAAATCTAGCTGACAGATTTTATTCCTCTCTGTATTTCAGGCCATTTGATAAACCGTTCCGTATACATATGAATCTCGCCATTGGTGGAAGCGCGTAAGAATTGTTGACAATCCTTTTTTCTTAATATTGTATGATGAAAACTTGTGTGATTTCTGTTCTAGAGTTGGTAAACACGGTATTGATGAGGGAGCCTTTCCTCAAAGAATGGAAATCGATTGGGTTCGTTTCGATGAACAATAGCAAGGAAAAAACAGCGGATTAGGCATTCAATTAATTATCCTAATCAATATACTAATGAACTCTAATTAGTACTATTCATTTCTAATTACTTCTAATAAACTCGAATCAATACTAAACAAATACAAACCAACTTTAATTATTTATAATCGAGCATAATCGCTAATATTAATCAAAGATTCACAATTAGAATAAATTCCTTTTTGTATAAACATGTAGATCAATATATTGTTGAAATGAAAGCACTGAATCTGGATCTGGGTAAGAGTGTGAATAGCATATTCACCTAGCACCCACACCGTCAAGATGGTTTAAATGACGAGAAATATTTTTATTAAGTATCTATACTCAGATACATGTATATACTACTTTCGTTTTTATTCTTACATATGACTATATCTAATTTATTTATTAATTTCGATATATTTTTTTTTTCTAAATTAAATCTTTCTATTTATGAACGATTTTATTTTCGATAGATTTTCTTTTGTTGAAAAATTTATCTGATAAAAAAGAAACTCAAAGTAAGATATTTACGGAATTCTTGTATATATCGAAATAATTGCAAAACATCAAAAGTTTAAAAATTGAATTCTTTAAAATATTTTCATTCATGTAAGTGAACATGGCAATGCAGTTGACTGGATAAGAGATGTATATATTATTGATCTGGTAATCAAAGTTGTGGGTGCAGATCTATACTTAATCTTTAGTTAAATCCAAATCGACATTGAAATATTCTCTCATTGAATAAATATCACAAAAATTGGTTGATTTCTTATTTGAAATTAGAAACAAATCAATTTCCAATTTTAGTCCAACCATTTTAAATATTACAACAGTTTTATCAGTGGGATTTTGTCACAAATAGTAATTGTAGTCATAAGAAAATTCTTTTTCGATATCTCCTATTACCGAGCAATGTTTTTATTATCATTGAGTCATTACAAGTTAATATTTATAAAAGCAGATAAGGAGATATTCATTTCTTCTATAAACTTTTATTCAAAGACATGGCCATGGCAAACAATAAAACACAATGTTTTAAATGCAAGAAAGAGAAAATAACATATCCTTGTGAAGGATGTTCAAAAAGATTTTGTTTTACGGATTTAGCTGAACATAAACAACTATTAAATGATGAACTAAATCATATTATTAATGATTACGATCAATTTAAGCAAAGAATTAATGAGCAAAAACAAAATCCACAAAATCATCCATTATTGAAACAAATTAATCAATGGGAACGAAATTCAATTGAAATAATTCAACAGAAAGCTCAAGATTGTAGAAATATTATCAGTAGATATTCACAAAAATTCATTAATGATGTTGAAATGAAATTTAATGATTTAAGTGAGCAAATAAAACAATTTCATAGTGAAAATGAATTTAATGAAATTAACTTAAATTATTTAACAAATCAACTGAGAAAAATCGCAGAAGAATTGAATAATCCATCAAATATTTCTATTCACCAAGGTTCCAAATCATTTATTAGTGAAATTTCGATTATTTCATCGATAAGTAAGATTTTAAGAAGTAATTTCTAAAAGGATAATTTTCATTTTTTATGAATTTATGTACTGCTCACACAACAGAAAAAAAATAAATGATATACTAGAGAAGATTTTGTGATTATTGACAAATATGATGTTTTATTTGTCTGCTTGTATCGGACATGAAATGTATTTGAAGATAAATATGTCTTATCATTAAAAAAATAATTTAGAATGATTATTTTCAAGTTTTTAACTACATTTAAATTAGAATTTTATATATTCAATGGAAAGTAGTGTAGAAAAAATATTGAATAATTATTTTTTGATTAGAAAATTCCTTAGAGATGATAGAATTATTCAATATAGTAAAACATTCTGAAATGATCAACTCTGAACAATATTTCTTTCTTAAAATATTTGTAATATTCTTTGTTTTATATGAATTTCTTTCCAAAACTTGAATATCTTTACGAGAAAATGTTGTTTTGGTCTAAAAATTTCTAGATGTTTTATTATTGAATAGATTTATCAATGAATAAACACTTTTTTCTTATTAAATAGAATATTTCTTCGTTTCCTTTTAATAACTTTTATTCGAAAAAACATCGAAACATATTTTTATTTTCCAAATACAAAACTTCAAATGATTCATGATTTTTTTTCAATAAAGTTCTTTTCAAACTTCACCAAAAACTCAAATACAGTTTTTCTTTTCCTTGAACATTTTTAACAGTAGTTCATTCAGAATTCAAATTTCACAAAAAACCAAAATCAACGTTTCATTGTATATTAATCTTTTGTTTTCATCCTTTTTCAGAATCAAAATCCAGCAAATGGAAACAAAATGGCATCACTGTGGCTGGCGGAAATGGAGAAGGACAAGAATTAAATCAACTCCAATTCCCTTATGGAATCTTTATTGATAAAAACAAAAATATTTTCATTGCTGATTATGCAAATCATCGTATTGTTGAATGGAAATGTAATGCAAAAGACGGACACATCATTGCAGGTGGAAATGGGCAAGGAAATCGAATGGATCAATTGAACTTTCCAACAGATATAGTTGTTGATCAACAAAGTCATTCGATCATCGTTGCTGATTGGGAAACAGACGAGTGATTCAATGGTTGAATCAATATCAACAAATTCTCATTGACAATATTGACTGTTATGGCTTGGCAATGGATAAACAAGGATTTCTTTATGTTTCTAATTTTTGGAAGGATGAAGTGAGACGATGGAAAATGGGTGAATATGGAGAAGGAACTGTAGTGGCAGGTGGAAATGGAAGTGGAAATCAACTTAATCAACTCAATCGTCCTACTTTTATCTTTGTTGATGTAGATCAATCTGTTTATGTATCAGATTGGAGCAATCATCGTGTGATGAAATGGAGAAAAGATGCAAAAGAAGGAACAGTTGTGGCTGGAGGAAATGGTAAAGGAAGAAACCTCAACCAATTATGGTCACCTGAAGGAGTAGTTGTTGATGATTTAGGTCAAATCTATGTGGCAGATTTAGGGAATGATCGAGTAATGCGTTGGTGTGAAGGAAAAGAAGAAGGTGAAATTATTGTTGGTAGAAATGGTAAAGGAAATCAATCAGACCGATTCAATGGTCCCCGTGGTTTATCTTTTGATGATCAAGGAAACCTTTCTGTTGCTGATGCTCAAAATAATCGAATTCAAAAATTTGAATTAATATTGTGAATGTAATTTTTATTTTGAGAAAAGAAAAGAGATTTTTTGTTGAATAAATAATCGAGAAATAAAAATAAAAGAAAAGGTAAAGTTTTACTACTTACAATCCATGAAAAATTCGAATAAATAAATGTTAAATTCTTCATATTTTGTTAATTTTTGTCGAGATATATAGAAAAAAAAGAAAAGAAAAGAAAATATTTTATAATTTGAAAAAAAGATTTTGTGCTTTAGAAAATTCTATTTATATTTTTGATACATTCATTCCAATTCTTGCTCAACTATTACACGTGACATCAAGCTTTCGTTTCTAATGATATTTTCGCTTAATTGAGGAAACTGTTCTTCATCACTATAATCTGAGATGTCAAATCAACAGATTTTTGTAATATATTAAAAACTGTTATTGATGTGAAGACAACTATTGAATTGAATTAAAGTTTTTTTGAGATAATAATTGAATATTTTCAATGAAATCTGATACTGTTTTTATTTGTTTAAATGATTTTATCTTCGATTTTATTGTTGGTCCTTCTTTTTTTATAGGCTGTTGAAAATGATTGAAATATTTCTAATTCATTATTTATTAATTAACCTAAGTTTAAATTTTGTAAAATCATTTTAACTAACTGTTTTTTTTTTGTCGTATTACGAACATGTGTTTCGAAAACACAAGCATATATGAATGAAACAAACAATGATTCAATGTTGGTATATTCCCTTTTCTTCGTTTACCTTTCTTTGTCGAAATTTTGTCAAGAATAGAAAGAAAACAGATACATCAAGTCATCACATAACGCTACTTTACATCACACAAATAATGACGAATAAAAAAATCGCTTATGAAGGTTAATTTCACGAGAAAAAAGAGAAGAGAGAAAATATCGTATTTATGTGTGTTTAGTCGTTATTTATTCAACGTTTTCTTCGGTGATGAGATAATGTATTTTCAAGGCATTAAAAAAAAAGAGTATTATCAGGAGAGTATCATTCTTTTATTTCTTATTTATAAGATATTACTAGTATTTTAATCTATCATGAGTTAATCAGCAACAACAAATTCAACTAACCATCATAGATTAGATCATCCAGAAATAGAAGGACAAATTTTAGAAAAGTTAAATGATGATATGAAGAATTTTGAGAATGAAAAGAAAGTGTTACATATATAGAAGATATATTAGTATTGATACTAGCACAACTAATTCTGAGTTTCGAATTCATCTTCTTGTTCTAACTAGGCCGCAGTAAGATTAAGTCAATTCTCATAAGCATTCATGAGTGTAAGTATGGCGCAATGAGAACTCACTAGCAAATATACCTACACCCTCAATCTACATTAAAACATATTGTCATTGAATTATTAAATTTATATTTATAAAAGTAGATAACGAGATTCTTTATTTTTCCTATCAACTTCTACTCATAGACGTGGTAATGGCAAATAACACAACACGATGTTTTAAGTGTAATAAAGAAAAAATAACATATCCTTGTGAAGGATGTTCAAAAGAATTTTGTTTAATGCATTTAACAGAACATCGTCAAATATTAAATGAAGAACTACATCATATTATTAATGATTACGATCAATTTAAGCAGAGAATAGATGAACAAAAACAAAATCCACAGAAACATTCATTAATAAAACAAATTAATCTATGGGAAATAAAATCAATTGAAATAATTCAACAAAAAGCACAGGAGTACAGAGAAATTCTCATGAAATCATCACAAATATGTATTAATGATATTGAAATGAAACTTAATGATTTAAATGAACAAATAAAACAATTTCAAAAAGAAAATGCATTTAATGAAAATAATTTAAATTATTTAAGAAATCAATTAAAAAAAATTACAGAGGAATTAAATAATCCATCAAATATGTCTATTCAACAAAACTCACGATCATTAATTGATGATATTTTATTTGTTTCATTACAAAAAAGTAAGTATTTAAAAGAGTAATTCTCATTTACTATGAACTTATGCTAAAAAACTATAAAAACAAAGAAAAGTGAGGATGAAAATAATAAAAACAATTGAAAATACTATTGTTCTTATTTAAAAAAAATAAATCAAAAAAATCTTTTCTCTTTCTCAATTTTTCTTATCTTTTGAAAACAAAATATTTCTTTATTTCATTCAAAAAACAATGGACGATTATTTCTTTTATGTTCTTTTTCAGTAGAATATTTTTCAAAAGTGAACTTTGACAAAAAAACCAATCTTTTCTTTTTTTTCTTCCATAAAAAAACAAAGTTTTCTCTTCTTCTTTTTGTCAAAATCTTTTGTTTTTATCATTTTCTAGAACCAACATTTAACAAATGGAAACAAAATGCCATCACTGTAGCTGGCGGAAATGGAAAAGGATGGAATTTTAATCAACTCAATTGTCCAGGAGGAATCTTTATTGATAAAAACAAAAATATTTTCATTGCTAATGATTATAATCATCGTATTATTGAATGGAAATGTAATGCAAAGGTAGGACAAATCATTGCAGGTGGCAATGGTGGAGCAAATCGAATGGATCAATTGTTTCATCCAACTAATGTGGTTGTTGATCAACAAGATCATTCGATCATCATTGCTGACTGTAATAAAAGACGAGTGATCCAATGGTTGAATCAATATCAACAAATTCTCATTGACAATATTGACTGTTTGGGCTTGGCAACAGATAAACATGGATCTCTTTATGTTTCTGATTATAAGAAAAATGAAGTGTGGCATTGGAAAATGAGAGAAAGCAATGAAGGAACTGTAGTGGCAGGTGGAAATGGAAGTGGAAATCAACTTAATCAACTCAATCGCCCTACTTTCATCTTTGTTGATGAAGATCAATCTATTTATATATCAGATGAAAACAATCATCGCGTGATGAAATGGACAAAAGATGCAAAAGAAGGAACAGTTGTGGCTGGAGGAAATGGTAAAGGAAGAAACCTCAATCAGTTATGGTCACCTGAAGGAGTAGTTGTTGATGATTTGGGTCAAATCTATGTGGCAGATTTAGGGAATGATCGAGTAATGCGTTGGTGTGAAGGAAAAGAAGAAGGTGAAATTGTTGTTGGTGGGAATGGTAAAGGAAATCAATCAAATCAATTGAATCATCCTCATGGTTTATCTTTTGATGATGAAGGAAATCTTTATGTCGCTGATTCGGAAAATCATCGAATTCAAAAGTTTGAATTAATATTGTGAATGTAATTTTTATTTTGAGAAAAGAAAAAGTTAAATACTATTGTTGAAAAGCAATGAAAAAGTCTAATAAATATCGAAGAAATAGGAATTTTTTGATAAGGAAATAACAAAAAAGATTCTTTTTGTTTCGGTTTTTTTGAAAAATTTATTTTGATATTTTCGATTAAAAAATTCCAATAAATATTAAATTTTTTCACCTTTTGTTGATTTTTGCAAAGGAAAAGAAAAGAGAATATTTTGTAATTCCGATTGAATTGGAATGAAGCTTATTTGAGGGTGGGTGTGGCTGTAAGTGTGGATAGTATTGAGGGTGTGGGTGTAAGTGACGATAACTCATAATTAATTAAAGCAAGAGTTACACTAAAACACGCCTCTACACCCACCTACACCCACACCCTCAAGAAATTTTTCAATAATATTTTCAAATGTATCATGTTGAAATTAGTTGGAAGTAATCAAAACTAGATGTTAGTATAATAAGAACTATATTAATGAATGAATACATCAATACGATGAGTACTGATAATCTAATTTCTTCAGTTTCTTATTATTTTTCGTTACATAGCATAATTAGAATATGTTAAAATCGATTACGCACCATGTAACAGGTATTATATACATGTTCAATTTATCTTGGATGGAGACAGATTCCGATGAATTCTTATCGGGCTTTTCTGATTTTAAAATATAAATTGTGTTTTGTTTTTTTTTGCTTTATGGTCAGTATTATATTACAATGTCAAAAGACAGCTTTTTAAATTGTCTTTTTGTAATCAATCGCAGCCATTTTTAAAAGGTTCTTCTCTTCTTTGTCTTAAATGAAATGTAATTGATATCTATCATAAAGTGAGAAAAAATCCAGGTGCACCAATTTCGGAGTTAAAAGAAAAGAAAAGGAAAGACTATATGTAAGACAATGGGTATCATTTAATCTTTCATATTTTTTTAAAACAAAAACGATATACTAATACACAATCAAAGGTATGAAAACTATTTCACAAGCGTCTGGAGAGAAATTTTAAAATATTGAAAACCTGTAAAAAAAACGAAGAAGATTTGAAGTATGTTTCAAAGGATCATATAAATTTTACTACTCAATTTTATTTGATTATGACTGCCAATTATCTTTCAAAGAAATTGTTGATAAAATATTCTATGGACTTTGAGATCTTTGCTGAATCAAGGTTCCATTCTTAGGTAGATAGACTAGTCAAAAGGCAATCATGTATCATTGTCCTCCATAAGTCTGACAATTGAGATAATATATGTTTGTGTTTAAGCGTGGGTGTGGTAAATGAGTGACTTATTCTTACATGATTTTAGATTATTCTTTTCTTTGATTAATTCACAATGTTATTTCCAAAATAATGGAAATGATTCCACTTCTTGAAACTCCTAAAGAATCTATTAGAAAACGAAATGACAATCATCTTGAAAGCTTTAGTCTTATTTGGCTTAATAATAATGAAAATGTTGACATCCAAAAAGAATTACGTAATACAATTAATCATATTGAAACCTTTGATGATGTTGAAGAATGTAAAAACTATATTGAAAAAACATCAGAAAATGATCGATTAGTTCTTGTTACTAATGGTGAATTCGGTCAACAAATTATTCCTTCAATTCATCAACTAAGACAAATTTCATCAGTTTATATCAATTCAGAAGATAAACAGTGGTCAAATGATTTTCCCAAGGTGAACAAAAAAAAGTATTAATAAAGTTTAATTTCAACTGATTATTTTTCTAGTTAAAAGGTATTCATGTTAAAATGGATGAACTCATCTTACAAATCCGTGAAGATTATAAAAATCGTCGGAAAATAGAAGAACCTGTATGGATGAATATGTTTACAACAGTAAATGATGCAGGAAAATCAACCACAGGAATCAATGGTCAATTTGTATTTTCTCAATTATTACTTGATTGTCTTCTTCGATTAAAACCAAATGAAAATGATCGAAATGAGTTAATTTCATATTGTGAAAAAGAATATGAAGGAAATCAAAATGAATTAAACCATCTTCATGAATTTCAGAGCAGTTATTCATCGGACAACGCCTTATGGTGGTATACTCGTGAATCTTTCTTTTATAAAACATTAAATGCAGCTCTGAGAAAAGAAAATATTCATATGATTTATTTATATCGTTCCTTTATTATTGATATACAAAATCAATTAGAAAATCATCAATGTCAATGTCCTACTCGTGTTTATCGAAGTCAACTAATGTCAACTGATGAATTAAACTATCTTAAAAATAGTGTTGGACAATATGTCTCAGTGAATTCATTTCTTTCGACGAGTTTTAAAAAAGATATTGCAACTTTTTATCTCGGTGATACAAATCATCAATGGATCGATTTTGAAAAAGTTTTATTTGAAATTGATGCTGATCCAAAAGTTGTTACAACAAAACCATTTGCTGATATTAGTCAATTTAGTGATTTTAGTGATGAGTTCGAAGTTCTTTTTATGCTTGGATCGATATTTCGTTTGAATTCAATTATTCGTGATGATCAAAATCAGTTTTGGATTATTCAAATGTGCTTATGTAGTGATGATGAACATAATTTGAAAGAAATTCTTATGGACATGAAAAATGAAATTGGAAATGGTGAAACAAATCTTTGTATTTTAGGAAAAGTTCTACGAGGAATGGGACATCTCGATTTATCAAAGAAATATTATTATCGTTGTTTAGATGAACTTTCACAAAATGATCCTTTACTTCTTACTGTTTATAGAGATTTGGCTAAAATTGCTTCTCAAAAGAAGGATTATGAAGAACATCTTCGACTGAGACGTGTTTTATCGGAAATCAATCAAAAAATACAATTAAATGATAATGAAATTCAGACAAGTGAAATAGATAAATTGACTTACAATGGTAAAACAAACATGTTCATTTTATCAGATTTCGATACATAATGTTAATCTGTTATTTTAGACACAATACAAAAACGAAAATCAAAAGATTATATTCGATGTAATTGGTATTTGAAATTATTGATATGTAGTTTTATTCTTATTTTGATGGTTGGAACTGGAATATTTGTATTACAATATACGATTACAAAAAAATCAAAAGAATGCAGTAAGTCATTTTGATACAATTGATAAATCGTTGTTTCTTTCACTGTTATCAATCAACTAGCGAAGGTACGCGAGGTTGGTTCAGAACCTTACAGACCGAAAACTTGATATATTAGAAAACGACAGGAAATACAGAGAGGATTGTGCGTGAAATTTTCATCTATCACCATAATATATTCCATCATAAATAATTGAAATAGCACAGCTCAGCCTATGGAGCACTCCAAATCCGTCCGATTGTTTACAGACTCCGTTGCAAAATCCATCCTTTTTCTTATAGATTTCGCTCCAACTCTGTCTCCACTTTATCTCGAATTTTCCTGTACATAGGGAAACGTCATCGACAATTTGGTGACGTCAGCTATAACAGGGCTATCTAGGTGAAATTTCACCCAGCTGCCACCCCTTCTCTTTTTGGTGATGCTATCCATTTCATGACCTTCCCATGGACCTAGTGCAGTACCATGGAAAGTTTGGTGACGCTACCTATTAAAGAGATTGAATGTATAGAAGATAGATAACAGTAAACGACTGGCGTCACTAAATCATACCTAAAAAGGTGTGATTTGATTCTAACTTTAGTATGTATAACATTAAAATGAAAGTTGTTCGAGACTGACTGGACATCATGCAGGTGGGTGAATCAGAGTTAATCGAAAGCATTGAAGTGAAGAAAAATTGATATGTTTTAAAAGAAAAGAAAAAAAATTTAAATTATTATTATTTATGATAAGTTTCCTAAAAAATTCGTTTTTCGTTCAGATTTGTATTTAACAAAGAGTAAATCAACAATTTTTTTTCTAATTTCTTTTCTGTTTGAATTAAATACTTTGTCAATTTGTTTCAAAAATAAATTCTTTTTCTTCAACCAAAAACAGATTTTCTTGTTTTTATTAAAATGTTTTGTTTTTATCATTTTCTAGAATCAATATTGAACAAATGGAAACAAAATCCCATCACCGTAGCTGGTGGAAACGGAAAAGGTCAAGCATTAAATCAACTCCACGGTCCTCGCGGAATCTTTATTGATACAAACAAAAATATTTTCATTGCTGATTTTAATAATCATCGTATTATTGAATGGAAAAACAATGCAAAAGAAGGACAAATCATTGTCGGTGTTAATGGGCAAGGAAATCGTATGGATCAATTGGATCATCCAACAGATGTGATTGTTGATGAACAAAGTCATTCGATCATCATTGCTGATTCTTTGAACAGACGAGTAATCCAGTGGATGAATCAAAATCAACAAGTTCTCATTCAGAATATTGATTGTTATGGTTTGGCAATGGATAAACAAGGATTTCTTTATGTTTCTGATCGTGTGAAGAATGAAGTGAGGCGATGGAAAATGGGTGAATACAATGAAGGAGTTGTGGTAGCTGGTGGAAACGAAAAAGGAAATCAACTCAATCAATTATATGGTCCTACTTTTATCTTTGTTGATGAAGATCAATCTGTTTATGTATCAGATTCTGACAATGATCGTGTGATGAAATGGAAAAAAGGTTCAAAAGAAGGAACAATTGTGGCTGGAGGAAATGGTGAAGGGAGAAATCTCACTCAGTTGTCTTCACCTTATGGAGTCATTGTTGATGATTTGGGTCAAATATATGTGGCAGATCGTGGGAATGATCGAATAATGCGTTGGTGCGAAGGAAAAGGTGAAGTTGTTGTTGGTGGGAATGGCAAAGAAAATCAATTGTATGGTCCCCGTGGTTTATCTTTTGATGATGAAAAAAATTTGTATGTTGTTGATTTAGGAAACAATCGAATTTTAAAATTTGAAATAATTTTGTAAATATAATTTTGATTTTGAAGAAAAGAAAAGAACTTTTTTGTTAAATAAAACATTGAGAATAAAAATAAAAGAAAAAACAAAGTTGTATTGTTGAAAATCAATGTAAAAAATCGATTAAAATTTGAAAAAAACAATAATTTTCAAAGAACAGTATATTTTACAGATTAAATAATAAAACAAAAAGAAATATCTCACATAATTGTCGTATATTTATTATTACTTTTCAAAAGAATATCAAACAATAAAAAGAGATATTTTTTCTTCTTTATGTAAAAAAAACATGATTTTATTCCAGACAATAAAAATTGATCCCATAGAATCTTGTTTTTTCTTATCTCAAAAATAAAAAAGTACATAGTCCAGCTTTACATTCTACATTAAAGATGAGATCATGTTTCTATTATATACCACCACTGCAGTCTCAAAAGATATTACATCAGTTTTATTAGTCGAATTTTGTCATAAACAAAGAATTTTCTTTCAATTGCTTTTACTATCGAGCAATGCTTTTATTGTCATCGAATGCTTACATTTAGAACTATAAAAGTAGAGAAGGATTTATTCATTTCTTCTGTCAACTTCTATTCAAAGACATGGCAATGACAAACAACAGAACACACTGTTTTAAAAGCAAAATAGAAAAAATAAAACATTCTTGTAAAAGATGTTCAAAAGGATTCTGTTTTGCAGATTTAACAGAACATAAACAAATATTAAATAATGAATTAAATCATATTATTAATGATTATGATGGATTTAAACAAACAATTAATGAACATAAACGAAATTCACAAAATCATTCATTAATAAAACAAATTAATCAATGGGAAAGAAATTCAATTGAAAAAATTAAACAAAAAGCACAAAATTGGAGAGAAATTGTTCTGAAATATTCATCAACAGTTATTAATAATATTGAAATAAAGCTTAATGATTTAAATGAACAAATAAAACAACTTCACAGAGAAAATGAATTTAATGAAAGTAATTTAAATCGTTTAAGAAATCAATTAATAGAAATTATAGAAGAATTAAATAATCCATCAAATATTTCTATCGAACAAGATTCGCAATCATTAATTAATGAAATTTCATATATTTTATCAAAAGGTAAATTTCTAGAAGAATAATTCTCATTTTCTATAATATTGTGTTGAAAAATTATAAAAATAATTTAGAGTATTATTGAGTTATTTGTTAACTAAATCAATAACAGTAATATTAGTATGTAAGAAAAGGAATACTAAGATATTAAATAATATTAAATTAACTCTTTAATAAACGGTGGGACAAATGTGTCCCATTTTTTAGTTTATAAAAAGCATTTCTCTACTAGTAGTCAAATATTTTTGTATTAGAATAAATAAAAATAGTTGAATGAAATTTTCTTTAATTAATATCAATGGTTAAGAAGTATTTTAACTATTGAATGAATCAATTATGATTAAAATATTCTTTTCCAGTGTATAGATTATATGAAAAAAAGAGAGACAAATGATTTTCTGATTTTAAAATCATATAGAATTTCATTGAATCTCGCGAATTATTGTTTTCATCTATCTATTTACAGTATTATTTTTCTCAAGTGAATGGCAAAGAGTTCTTTTCAAAGTGTTATGTTATAGAAAGATGTTTATTGTGAAGAGAATTTTCATAATTTTCTTTTCTGATTATTATAATTTAATGAATTAACATAACTAGCTTTCTTTGTTTTATTATGATTATATATTGATATTCCCTGATAAATATATGAATCAATTTATTTCGTTAAAGCTTAAGTGATTAATCTGGAAATCATTGTTATATAGTTTTATTTCGATTTTAATTCAATTTCTTTTATTAATCGTCTTTTACTGTTTTTCTCTTTATTCTTTGATATTTTCAAGTTCTAACATACTAATCATCGGAATGAAATCAATAGATGTTTAGATTTCCAGTCTCATTAAATAAAACAAAAATATGCAAATCTAAACTTTTAAGAAATTCTTCATAATTACTTAAAAAATATTTAATTCTATTTCAGATATGTTTGATATGAAATATTTTCCTAAATAGCCATATTAAAACTGTAAATTGAAATAAATCAAAATTTTTCCTCTTTTTCTATTATTTTAATGTTGATTTAATAAGAAAGCCTAAAAGATGAAATTTATTTCTAATCGAAATATTTTAAATCATTTTTAATTTATTTGTATCTTTTATTGACAAATTTTCTAAAATAAATCAACAAAATCTTTTGTTTTCATCATTTTCTAGAATCAAACTTTAACAAATGGAATCAAAATGCTATCACTGTGGCTGGTGGAAATGGAAAAGGAAAAGAATTAGATCAACTCCATTGGCCTGTTGGAATCTTTATTGATAAAAACAAAAATATTTTCATTCCTGACTATTATAACCATCGTATTGTTGAATGGAAATATAATGCAAAAGAAGCACACATCATTGCAGGTGGAAATAGAAATGGAAATCGAATGGATCAATTGAATTATCCAACAGATATGATTGTCAATCAACAAAAGCATTCGATCATCATTGCTGATTTTGGAAACAACCGAGTAATTCAATGGGTGAATCAAACTCAACAAATTCTCATTGATAATATCCATTGTTGGGGCTTAGCAATGGATAAACGTGGATTTCTTTATGTTTCTGATTATAAGAAGAATGAAGTGAGACGATGGAAAATGGGTGATTACAACAACGAAGGAATTGTAGTTGCAGGTGGAAATAGAAAAGGAAATGAACTCAATCAACTTGATTATCCTACTTTTATCTTTGTTGATGAAGATCAATCTGTTTATGTATCAGATAGAGACAATCATCGTGTGATGAAATGGAGAAAAGGTGCAAAAGAAGGAACACTTATGGCCGGAGGAAATGGCGAAGGAGAAGATCTCAATCAATTGTCTTCACCTCAAGGAATAATCGTTAATTATTTGGGTGAAATCTATGTGGCCGATTGTGAAAATGATCGAGTAATGCGTTGGTGTGAAGGAAAAGAAGAAGGTGAAATTATTGTTGGTGGAAATGGTAAAGGAAATCAAACAAATCAATTGAATGGTCCCACTGGTTTATCTTTTGACGATGGAGGAAATCTATATGTTGCTGATTGCGAAAATGATCGAATTCAAAAATTTGAATTAGTTTTGTGAACCGAATTTTGGTCTTGAAAAAAAGAAGAGAAATTTTTTTATAATTTGAATTGAAATAAAAACTACTTGAGGGTAGGTGTGGTTATAGATCGTATTTTGTTAAACCTACATCCATCCATCCTTATCCACACCTTTTGAATAAATTTAGTTGTATTTTTGATACATTCGTTCAAATTCTTGTTCAGCAGTTACACGTGACATCAAGCTTTCATTTCGAATGATATCTTCGATTAATTGACGAAAGTGTTCTTCATCACAATAATCTGAGATGTGAAGACAACTATTGAATTGAAAATTTTCAATAAAATCTGGGTTTTGCTTTTATTTGTTTTAATGATACTATGTCTTCGATTTTACTATTGATCCTTCTACTTCAATATTTATTTAGTGAAGCTAAGTTTAACTTTTTTTTAAATTGCACAACTATTTTAATAATAGTACAGTGCATGGTTCTTTTCAATATTTAAATCAACTTTTTGATTTAAAATAAAATGAACAATTGGTTGAAATATTGACGTTTTGTTCATTTTGGCTGAAAGAATTTGCACATGATTTGAACTTTTCTTGAAATTTAGAATTAATTTCATCAGTCACATTGATAAGTACAATATTTGAAACAGGTAAACAAACGAGAGCCATTTGATGATCCCATTATTTGCTTTTCATATTATTACCTAATAAACCTTCAGTATCGATCAGCATGATATTTGATTTGATACATGATTCATAAATACCTCGAGTACATCGATCATCATAGATATTAAATAATGTGGCCATCATATAATTTGATAAAATACTTTTATCAGAATTTTGTGATTCAATAATACTAATGGCAAGTGTTCGATGATGTTGTACTAATGCTATAAAGCTTCAACTAAAAGTGAGTATTAAAAATGAAAATGATCTCCATGAACCAGTTCAAATAGATAATCAGTTTGAATATATTGATAATATTTATCTTATAAAAATGTCTGATCTTTCTTTGATTAATATTGACTACACATAATCCCATTTCTTTCTTCATAAAATTTCTATAGATAAATTTTTTTCAATCGAGAATCCTTCGAATATATCGCTTATTGAAATTGATTGTTGTTGTTAAAACTTTAAAGAATAATTAATATATGATACTGTCAGATCCACAACATAACGATTATTTTTGAAAAAACCTCAGAGTAAACGATTAGAATCATATGTTTTGAGCACTTCTTTACATATTCTGATTGAAAGATATTCAAAAAAACAATTTAATATTAATGAGGGATTATTATATATATGAAATAAATATAATAATTTATTCTTATGATTGTTATATGTTTTTAGTGATCGATCTAATGTAGTTATAGAATTTCTTGTTCTTGTTTTTTTTGTTATAATCATAAACATTTAGTAGAATAAATGTTTTAATATTGTGAAACTTATTCTAATTTTGATTTAAAACATCTAAAATAATTAATCGTCAATATTTTCTAGTATTATTAATGAAATTTAAGAGATCTATAGAAAAGTCAATGAATTAATAGTTCTAATAATGGATATGTCATTGAACCATAAGCATAATCAATATTTGCGTTGAATTTTGAGGTGAAGGATGACATTTATACTCAACATCAATTGTATTTTGAAAAGAAGATTATGAATATAGAAAACAAATCGTGTGAATAGTTCAAGAAATGCATTTGAATTTTATTTACTTAATAATGATACGTCTGATCAAAGTAATAAGTATCAATGAAATCATCAAAATTTTGATGTCTTTTTTAATAGATACGTTACAGAGCGATAAAATAGTCGTTAGTAAATAGAGAAAATTTACGATTAAGTTGATAATCTTGAATAATTTTATCCATATCTATTAATTCATCAGCTTCGACGAAATTTGATAACTGTAATGTTTTTTGTTTTTATTTATAAACTTTAAAATAATTCAGTTTTCTTCTGTTGATTCTTCTTCATCTCTGTCCTTAACAACAGTATTCGATTGTATTAGAAGAGATTCATCATTTTGACAAACAATCTCATATGTATCTTTTACTATAGTTATTTTCTTAAAGTTTATTTCACCTTCATTTCTTTGTGCAGAGGATTCACTCGATGAAAAAGGAGTGAAAATCGACGATAAACTTTCAGTTCATAAAGCGTGTTTAAATCTTTTTGTTTAAATAAATTGATCAATAATGGATAAAAAATAATTCTCCAAAGTTTCGACTAATTCACTCTGATCTCAAATCATTTATCATCGATCGTCATTCAGTAATACATCATTTTTCAAACTCTATAAAGCTTGTCTTGGTTGAATTAACAAATTGCTTGCGATTATGTTAGATTCGATGTTATTCTCTAGATCAAGAGTTTCTCGTATATATTCACTCCATGATATAGATACATAAGTATGATTACTATCTAAGATCGGAATATGATATGAAGTACGATTGAATTCATCTCTATTCATGTTGATGATGCACAAGAAATGTTTCAAGTGAGTGATGATTGATCAGAAAATCAAAAAAATAATCTAATAGAATTTTAATGGATTAGATAATTTTATCGCTTTATTTCTATCATGCGATTTGATCTTTTTTGGGTTTCTTCCTACTATCTTGTCTTTCAATTCATTTTCATGTAGAATATTTCAACTTAACTAACTGTTTTTTTTGTCGTACAACGAACATGTATCTTTTCTTTTGTCATATTATGGGCACGTCTCTTTTTTATTTTCGCAATACGAACAGGTATTTCGAAAACATTAGTATATATGAATGAAAAAAATAATGATTCGATATTGGTATATTTCTTTTCTTCGTCGACCTTTCTTTGCCGAAATTTTGTCAAGTATAGAAAGAAAATACACATCAAGTCATCGTATAACGCTACTTTACATCACACAAATAATGACAAAATAAAAAAATCGCTTGTCAAGGTTATTTTCAAAGAGAAAAAGTATCATATTTAAGTTTGTTTGTTTTTTCTTTCATTTGTATTTATGTGTGTTTAATCGGTGTTTATCCAACGTTTTTGTCGGTGATGAGATGATATATTTTCAAAGGCATTGAAGAAAAGAATATTATCAGGAGAGTATCATTCTTTCAATTCTTATTTGCAAGATATTACTAGTATTTTAATCTATTTTGAGTCAATCAGCAGCGACAAATTCAACTAACCATCATAGATTAGATCACACAGAAATAGAAAAACAAACTCTACGAAAGTCAAATGATGATATAAAGAATTTTAAGAATGAAAAGAAACTGTTACATATCATCTTTCTGGTCTAAGTAGGTCTCAGTAAGATTAAGTCAATTCTAATAAGCATTCATGAGTGTGAGTGTAGAGCGATGAGAACTTACTAAGAACCTACACCTTCATTGAAAAAAATATTACAAAAATCGTTTGAATTTTTATTTTTAATTAAAACCAAATCGATTTTCAACTTTTATTCAACCATCTTAAGTATTACATCAGTTTTATCAGTGGAATTTTCTAACAATTAGTAATTGTTGCAACAAGAAAACTTCTTTTTCGATTTCTTTTATTAAGGAACAACGCTTCTTATTGTCATTGACCTATTAAATTTATATTCATAAAAGTAGACAATTAGATATTCATTTCTTCTAGAGATTTATATTCAACAACATGGCAATGACAAACAATAAAACACTATGTTTTATATGTAATGAAGAAAAAATAACATATGTTTGTGAAGGATGTTCAAAAGAATTTTGTTTAATGCATTTAACAGAACATCGTCAAATGTTAAATAATGAATTACATCATATCGCCAGTGAATATAATGAATTTAAACAAACAATTAATGAACAAAAACAAAATCCACAAAATCATTCATTAATAGAACAAATTAATCTATGGGAAATAGATTCAATTGAGAAAATTCAACAAAAAGCACAAGAGTGTAGAGAAAATGTCATCAAATCATGTATTAATGATATTGAAATGAAATTTAAAGACTTAAATAAACAAATACAACAACTTCAGAAAGAAAATGAGTTTAATGAAATTAATTTAGAGTATTTAAGAAATCAATTAACAAAAATTACAGAAGAATTAAATAATTCGTCAAATACGTCTATTCAACAGAGCTCACAACCGCTCATTAGTGATATTTCAATCATTTTATCAAAAAGTAAGTTTTCAAGAAATTATTTGAAGAAGAATAATTCTCATTTTCTATCAATTTATGTTAAAAAACTAAAATAAAAAGAAAAGTGATGACAAAGAGGATACAAAAATCGAGAATACTATTGATTTATTTGTTAACTAAATTAATAATACTACTATTCATAGAAATAGAAAATTCAATTTATCTCTATGTCAAAAGATTATCATAAAATATGAAATAATATTAAATAATAAAAAAAATTCATTTAAAGATTCAAAAAATGTCGGATTTATAAAAACAAAATTGAATTATTTTCAAATTTTTATTTAACAAAAAATAAATCAACAAAATCTTTTTTCTCTTCAAAACTTCGATTCGAACAAAAATAAATTTCAAATTCATATTTCCTTTCAAAACGGGGTATTTTTATTTTCCAAATACAAAATTTAAAATATTTTATTTTTTTTTCTGCAGAATTGGTTTTTGCAAATTTTAACAGAAAATATCGAATAAAATTTGTGTTTTCTTCACACATTTTATTCAAAATTTAACTTTAACAGAAAACAAACTCAAAGTTCCATTGAAAACCAATCTTTTCCTGTTTTTCTTCGATAAAAAAACAACATTTTCTTTTTTTCATCAAAATCTTTTGTTTCCATTATTTTCTAGAACCAACATGGAATAAATGGAGACAAAATGCTATCACTGTGGCTGGTGGAAATGGATATGGAGAGAAATTAAATCAACTCAGTAGCCCTACAGGAATCTTTGTCGATGAAAACAAAAATATTCTCATTGCTGATTATGATAATCATCGTATTGTTGAATGGAAATATAATGCAAAAGAAGGACAAACCATTGCAGGTGGGAGTGGCAGAGGAAATCGAATGAATCAATTGACTTCTCCAACAGATGTGATTATTGATCAACAAAATCATTCCATCATCATTGCTGATTATGCGAACAGACGAGTGATTCAATGGTTGAATCAAAAGCAACAAATTCTCATCGATGATATTGACTGTCGTGGTTTAGCAATAGATAAACATAGATTTCTTTATGTTTTTGGTTGGAAGAAGAATGCAGTGAGACGATGGAAAATGGGAGAATATAACAATGAAGGAATTCTAGTGGCAGGTGGGAATGGAAAAGGAAATGAGCTCAATCAGCTTAATTCTCCAGGTTTTCTCTTTGTTGATGAAGAACAATCTGTTTATGTATCAGATAGATACAACCATCGTGTGATGAAATGGCGAAAAGATTCAAAAGAAGGCACTATTGTGGCTGGAGGAAATAGTGTAGGAAGGAATCTTAATCAATTGTCTCATCCTCTAGGAGTAATTGTTGATGATTTGGGTCGAATCTATGTGGTAGATGCAGGGAATCATCGAGTAATGCGTTGGTGTGAAGGAAAAGAAGAAGGCGAAATTATTGTTGATGGAAATGGTGACGAAAATCGATTGAATGCTCCCGTGGCTTTATGTTTTGATGATGAAGGAAATCTCTATGTTGGTGATTGGGAAAATCATAGAATTGAAAAATTTGAAATAATTTTGTAAACGAAATTTTGACTTTGAAGAAAAGAAAAGAAATTTTGTTTTGAATAAATATCGAGAAACAAAAATAAAAGAAAAAGTGAAGTTTTATTATTGATAATCAGCGAGAAAATTCGAATCACTAAACGTAAAATTTTTTATCTTTTTTTATTTTTTATTCCATTTTACAGGAGAAAAGAAAAGAGAATATTTTTGTTTTTTCGATTTCATGAAATCTGAGAATTGTTCAAAATTGAAGAAAAAAAATGTTTTATAAAAACTTGATAATGAAAATCGAATTGAAATGAATTTTATTGAACAAAACAAGTGTTGAAAAGATTTTTCTTGAATGAATTAATGGACATTGAATTAGAAAATAATTTGTCAAGATGAAATGAATAAAAAGAAATTCGATTTGAAATTTCAAAATAAATCAACGAACATTTTTATTTAAATGAAAACAAAAAAAAGGAATTTTGAAAGAATAATGAACGAAAATTTTGAAATGAGACAAAAATTAAATTTGATTTTTAATTTCAAAGATTTTTAATGAAATAAAAATATTTTCATCTGACTATTTCTAATACAACTTTCAAAGAGATTTCTTTTATTTTTCAGATAACTCAAAATAAATATTTTCTTTGTTTGATCTTTGAATAAAAAAAATTTGTAGAAATATTTTTAATAGATAAAAGAAATTATTTTTTGTTAGTTTAGAATTACGTGAAATTGGTAGAGACTTAATCAAATAATTGACTTTGATGATGGAATCAATTGAAAAATGTATTTTTTGAATATTTCAAACTGGTTTGTCAAAAATACATGTGGGTACGAAAAAATATGTTTTGTTCTCAAAAAATAAATTTAAAATGTTTATTTGAATTGAGAGTTTTATGTTTGAAAAGATAATACATTTAAGAAAGTCAATCGGCATTGTTTTATTTGTATAGTTTTAATTAAAAAATGAATATATATAGAATATAGACGACCCATTATAAGAAAGAGTATTAACACGTCTACATATTATTTAAGAAAAGAAAAAATCAATAAAAATATATTTTTACTTTCAACAAGAACGAATTGAGTATCCAAATAACAAGTTATATTTACTATAGGAAACTTCTTATTAAAATCTCTTCTATATCTTTATAAATTTTCTATCGAAGTTCCTCAACATATTTTATTATAATTTCATAATTTATCGACGAAATCTGATTCATTTGCTTTCATATACGATCGATTCTTCTACTTATCTATTGACGATTCTTATTAATTTTATATATTAAATTGTTGAATTGGAATATACCACATTACTTATTCTCATACAATCTCTCATCGTATCAGTATTGATATCATTCGAACTTTATTTTAAATCATATATGAATAATAGTATTATTTCACTAAATTCTTGCAAATAAATTTATTTGATTTATGTTTTTTAATTTAAACAATTAAATTGATTTATAGTAAATATTTATGGTTATTTTGATATTTATTCATTACAAACATTGAATTTTCACATATATATATTTTCAAGTATATTTTATTATGCTGAATATGATGAGAAATGGTATTATTATGTAAAATGTTTTGTTTTGATTATAAAATAGATCATTAATTTCAATCATCACAGATATTTAGTATCATCATTTTTCTAGAGCTTTTCATAGTGAATCTTTTGAGAAAGAAAAGATCAAACTTCTATTATGTATCGATTAATTATGATTAAATTTGATCATATTTTACTTATTCATTTTGATATAGTTTTTCTTTTTCAAATCAAATATATAGTTAGAAGAACCTAATCAATAAAAGAGGAATTCAAAGTGATATTACAGTTCTATCGAAGGTTGATAAAAAAGAGTATGCTTGAAAGCATAGTAAAAGCTCGTTGATTTAAAAAGAAAACGCAATTATTTATACGATGAGCACTGATTATTTCTTGGATTCTTTTCATCTCTGCAATGCAATATATCCTGAGGAGATAGCTACGTGATATCATCTCTTCGTTCATAACTTAGAAATGACATATCTCGGGAGAAATCAACAGAACAGAAAAAATATAATACGGTCATATATAAAAAGAGAGAAAAATACCCATATAATCATATGTACGATTGATATAGCGAACAAATATATCATTTGCTTGCTTACAAGTTTAGTAATTCAACTCTTTCAAGTACTTTCATTTTGGTAAGTTAGTCGCTTTTGAAATAATATAAAAAATGAGTAAAAAAGAATATTACATAATAACTACCTTGAGATTGAGAGTGATAATGATGATATCAGTATAAGACTGGATGGGAGATAAACACAACGATACAGTTGATTGAAGGAGAGATTAATATATCATTCATTTTGAGGGTAAAGTTATGAGTGTAAATCTATGTTTAATCTTCAACTTTGAAAACACATAATCTTTTACTACGGAACACTATTTTTCTTATCATTGAATTCTTTAATTTACATCTAGAAATTTATATTCAAAGACATGGCAATGACAAACAATAGAAGAAAATGTTTTATATGTAATAAAGATAAAATAACATATCCTTGTGAAGGATGTTTGAAAAACTTTTGTTTAATGGATTTAACAAAACATCGTCAAATATTAAATGAAGAACTACATCATATTATTAATGATTATGATCAATTTAAACAAATATTTAATGAACAAAAACCGAGCTCGCATGATCTTTCTTTAATAGATCAAATTAATCAATGGAAAATAAACTCAATAAACCAAATTAAGCAAAAAGCAAAAGATTGCATAGAAACTGTCATTAAATGCTCACAAACATTTTTGAATGATATTGAAAAAAGATTTAATGATATAAATGAACAAATAAAACAATTTCAGAGAGAAAATGAATTTAATGAGATTAATTTAAACTATTTAAGAAATCAATTAAGGAAAATTACAGAGGAATTAAATAATCCGCCAAAGACTTCTATTGAACAAGATTGTCAAGCATTTACTAATGAAATTTCAATTATTGCATTAGAAAAAAGTAAGTTGGTTTTTGTTAATTATTCTAAAAAAATCTTATTTTGTAATGGTCACAATAAATTATCATTTGATTTCTTTATGATTTTTATTGAATAGTTTGTTAGAAAATAAAGTCATCTTATAGAATCGATGTGATACTTACACAGTAGAAAAGAAATAAATGACATACCATATAAATGATTTTGTGATTATTAGCAAATGTGATGTTTCATTTTTCTATTTATATTACATTAACATATATATTGAAATATATAAAGAATGAAAAAAAACAAATCAAACTTCATCAGTAAAAGTTTCATGAATTTGACATTAACTATTAGGACAACTCTGAATATATTTTATTTTCATTCTATTTTAGAACCAAAATTCAATAATTGGAATCAAAATGCCATCACTGTAGCTGGTGGAAATGGATATGGAGAGAATTTAAATCAACTTAATTGCCCTGTGGGAATCTTTATTGATAAAAAGAAAAATATTTTCATTGCTGACTGTTCAAATCATCGTATTGTTCAATGGAAATATAATACAACAGAAGGACAAATCATTGCAGGTGGAAATGGCAAAGGAAATCGAATGAATCAGTTGAATTATCCAACAGATGTGATTGTTGATCGACAAAATCATTCGATCATCGTTGCCGATTGGCAAAACAGACGAGTAGTTCAATGGGTCAATCAAAATCAACAAATTCTCATTGACAATATTGACTGTGGTCGCTTGGCGATTGATAAATATGGATTTCTTTATGTTTCTGATTATAAGAAGAATGAAGTAAGACGATGGAAAATTGAAGAATACAGTGAAGGAACTGTGGTTGCAGGTGGAAACGGAAAAGGCGATCAACTTAATCAACTTAATTTTCCTGCCTATATCTTTGTTGATGAAGATCAATCTATTTATATATCTGATCAAAACAATAATCGTGTGGTAAAATGGAGAAAAGATGCAAAAAAAGGAACAATTGTGGCTGGAGGAAATGGTAAAGGAGAAAGATTGAACCAACTGTCTTCACCTCAAGGAGTCATTGTTGATCATTTTGGTCAAATCTATGTAGCAGATTTTTGTAATCATCGAATAGTGCGTTGGCGTGAAGGAAAAAAAGAAGGCGAAATTATTGTCGGTGGAAATGGTAAAGGAAATCAATCAAATCAGTTGAATGTTCCCATGGGTTTATCATTTGATAATGAAGGAAATCTTTATGCTGCTGATCGTGACAATCATCGAATTGAAAAATTTGAAATAATTATGTAAATAAAATTTTGATTTTGTAGAAAGAAAAATAATTTTTTTGTCAAATAAAAAAATCGAGAAATAAAACTAAAAGAAAACGCATTTTTGTCATTATTTTTCGTCACTTGAAATGTTTTTAAGATTTCTTTTTCAAATTAAATGTATTGTTGGAGAAAAAACACAAAAAAACATCAAATGTTATTCTTTTACAAAACAGTCACAAGAATTTATTCGTCCAAAAAGAAATTCAGTTTTTTGAATTAGTTTCATTTTTTCATCCTATTTTTGAAACGGTATCAAAAATAGGATGAAAAAATGAGAATAGAGAATACCGCAAGGCAACAATCTTGAGAATGGCAGTAAAATTGGATGAAAATGAATATGATGATATAGCTAGAGAACAAATAAACACAGTCACTTTGAGAGTATGGGTGTTAGTTTTTTCTTGTTATCTACAACCTCAGGCTGAATGATGTTGATATTATCTATTTGTTTGAAAGACTGTTTAAAAGAATATATTAATGCACATTTACCATTTTCTATTCTGTTTATTTCAACACTTTTTCAGTTCGACAAAATGGCAGCAAATCATGCAACATCATCGTACTTTCTGGCTTTAAAAAACGAACCAAGATTAACTATGCAAATTAACACAAGTATAGCTGCGATGGCTGTTGATAATAACAACAGTACCCTGCTTTATTGTTCTGAAGATTGTTTGTTGTTAATTAATGAGCAAGGCAAGGAGATACTAAATATAAAACGGAACTTTAAAGTCTCCGATATGTGTTTCTCATCCTTTTTAAATCAATTTTTAATTCTCTCATATAAACCTGAGTGTGCACTTTATTCGCTCGATCCCTCGACACACGAACTGAAACAAATAAAAAAATTCACTCGAATAATATGGAGTTGTACATGTTATGATAAAACACTTATTGTTTCGGAAGCTGATCAAGGTTCAAAAATTGAAGTTTACGATTTGAGCGCAGATCATTGGAATGTAGTTCAAATATTCACAGCACCATTATCTTGTGAAGTGGATGAACAGATTGAAAAGATTCGATTCAATAGTGATGGTAGTCGTCTTGGAGTTATTCTACGCAAAGGAAGTCAATCTAATTATTATCATTGGTTTGAATTACGTAATCCAAATGATATGACTGTAGTTTCGACGACTACGGCTGACCTCGGTGATGATCAATGGTGCTGGCTTCTCCCGCTACCCAACCAACAGTTTTTGGCAACTCTATGGAGAAAGAAAAAACTCTTTTTGTTCGATTCACACGGGGTACTTCAAGAAACAACAGAATACGATACGAATGTGAAGTTTTTAAATTCAACAGCATTAATCAATAGCAGCTGTCTGGCAGTACAAACATGGAAACCTGACGAACTACGTTTTTATAATTTATGATATAAACTCTGTTTGTAATTTGAGTGTCCGTATCCTCTATAATAAACTAGGAGAGTCTATGCTCTGAGCGTGTGAGTATACATATAATTAATAAAACACCCGTAGCCACACCCACACCCTTTTTCATTAAAGAACTGTTAGAAATTATCTGTTCAAAAAATTTACATGATTTATTTTAAATTTAAACATGCTTAGGTAATTTTCAATGCCAGTAAGAGTTTCGAAAAATAAACGAAAATATTTATTTGAATTATGAATTTAAAGTATTTTTTTATATTTTAATATAGACACAAAATACTGATTGTTATAATCGATTGTTTACTGAAATTTGTTACTCAGTTTGACAACACGGAGTAGAAAATGAATGATCATGAGATGAAGTGTTGATCAATGGTGTTGTTTCCGTTGTTAAAGAATTAATTTGAGTTCGGTTTCGAATTCTAATAATACCAAAAATAAAATGTCCCAAAATTAAACCAAATATAAGAGCAATAAAAATACCAATATCATATGTCATAACTAATAACATTAAACAATAAGCAAATAACATATGAACTCCATATGATAACGATATACACAATTGTTGAACAAATATAGATGACCATACATTTGTTCTTTGTACTAATAGATGTCGACTATATATTATTATTTCATTGAATATTCCCATACAAAATACAATAATAATAAATAATGCATATTTAATTCGAGTATCAATATTCAGTCCTGGAAAAAGAAATAAAATACATTGTTGACTTCTTCCCATTGCAAATTGAAAACCATTTTGCATAGCCATACATTTGTCCATCATCATCATCATGAATCTTAAATAGAATTATACATAATACAATGTTTATGATTACATGATACTTTAGAAGAAATTCTAGTATGATGAAAAGATACTCATAATATTAATATATTAGAATAATTTCGATATGTCAAATAAATCGATATTTATATATACAAATTGTGTTCTATTTTGATGTCGAGAACGTGCTTCAATGATTATAATAATATGTTCGTTTCGGATGAGTGCACTATCATTCTTTTTCTTTTCTTATATGTCAAGAAAAGAACAGAATAAAATCGATATAGAGAGAGATGTATATTTTCGTGTAGATTACTCATACAAAATCGATAGACATATTGTTGTTCTTTTGAAAGCATATCATCTTGAATATGATAATATCCATACTGAATTCTCATTTTTAAACTCTCTTCACTATCGAATAAACACCATTCTATTTTGTTTTTTTAATTCAGATGTAAATAACAGTATATAATCATTAATATAGTTCATTATAGAATGGTCGGATGCTCTTGAAGATAGGTGTGGGTATGATTAATAGATACAATATTCTCAGTCACACTTATACCCACACCCTCGAGATGGATTAAAATGAACATGACGATACAGCTGAGTGGGTAAGAGATTAGTATATGATCTATTTCGAAGATAACGATCTATATGTTTAATCTTTACCCACATCTAAATTTACATTAAAACATTCTTTCATCAAAAAAAAAATATCACTAGAGCTGTTTGAATTTTTATTTAAAATTAAAGGCACATCAATTTTATCAGTAACATTTTGTTGTACGACAAAGTTCTCTTTAGATTTCTTTTAGGAAGTAACTATGTGCACACGAGTGCACATAGCCACTTTCTTTTTTTATCATTTAGTTGTTAAATTTATATCTAAAAAAATAAATAAGAAAATATTCATTTCTTCTAGAAATTTATATTCAAAGACGTGGCAATGACAAACAATAAAACACAATGTTCTATATGTAATAAAGATAAAATAACATATCCTTGTGAAGGATGTTTGAAAAACTTTTGTTTAATGGATTTAACAAAACATCGTCAAATATTAAATGAAGAACTGCATCATATTATTAATGATTATAATCAATTTAAACAAAGATTTAGTGAACAAAAACCAAATCCACATGATCTTTCTCTAATAAATCAAATTAATCAATGGGAAATAGATTCAATTATAAAAATTCAACAAAAAGCAAGAGACTGTAGAGAAATTGTCATTAAATCATCACAAACATGTATTAACGATACTGAAAAGAAATTTAATGATTTAAATGAACAAATAAAACAAATTCACAGTGACAATGAATTTAATGAGATAAATTTAAACTATTTAAGAAATGAATTAATAAAAATTAAAGAAGAATTAAATAACCCACCAAAGACTTCCATTCAACAACACTGTCAACCATTTATTAATGAAATTTCAATTATTTTCGTAGAAAAAAGTAAGTTTTTAAGAAATAATTTCTAAAAGAAAATGGATGATAAAGAAAAGAATAATAAGATATGAAATAAAAGTTAAATAAAAAAATTTTTTCTTCGAAGTTTGAAAAGATGTTTGATTGATAACAACAGAATTGAGTTATTTTCAAATTTTGTTAATTATTCTAACAAAAATCTAATTTTGTAATGGTCACAATAAATTATCATTTGATTTCTTAGTTATTTTTATTGAATAGTTTATTAGAAAATGAAGTTATCTTATAGTATCTACATGATAATCACACAGTAGAGAAGAAATGAATGATATAATATATAACAGATTTTGTGATTATTAGCAAATGTGAGGTTTCATTTTTCTGTTTATATTGAAAATGAAATATATTGGAAGATAAATATTGTATTTTATCATTCAATTTTTAATATCACATTCACATATATATTGAAATATACAAAGAATGAAAAAAAAACAAATCGAAATAAAATCAATTTTGTATTAAAATCAAAATCTACTTTTTGAGTCTTCGAACTTTATCAATAAAAGTTTCATGAATTTGACATTAACTGTTAGCATAACTCTGAATATATTTTATTTTCATTAGTTCATTACGATTTCAGGTAAAATTCTTTCATTAATCGCCTTTTACTATAGTTTTTCTTTATTCTTTAATATTTTCAACCTATTGATCACTATAGTCAAATAAATAGATGTTCTATACTTATAACTTTCATTGAATAAAACAAAAATATTTTATTTTAATTCTGATTTGATAAGAAAAAGTAAAAGATCAAATTTATTTTATTTTATACAAATCTCTCAATTAAAATCATTGCTGTTATTGAGAAATTTTCTAAAAGATTTCGTTTTTTTAAATTTTTATTTAACAAAAATAAATCATCAGAATCTTTTTCTCCTTTTCAATTTCAATTCTTCACTCAACTTTCACAGAACCAAAATCGAAGTTTCATTCAAAATTAATCTTTTCCTTCTGCTTCAATAAAAAACAACTTTTCTTCTTCTTGTTCATCTTTCCAGCAAAATCTTTTATTTTCATTCTACTTTAGAGCTAAAATTCAATAATTGGAATCAAAATGCCATCACTGTAGCTGGTGAAAATGGATATGGAGAGAACTTAAATCAACTCTATCTCCCTGCAGGAATCTTTATTGATAAAAAGAAAAATATATTCATTGCTGATAGTCATAATCATCGTATTGTTCAATGGAAATATAATGCAAATGAAGGACAAATCATTGCAGGTGGAAATGGTAAAGGAAATCGAATGAATCAATTGAATTATCCAACAGATGTGATTGTTGATCGACAAACTCATTCGATCATCGTTGCCGATTGGCAAAACAGACGAGTAGTTCAATGGGTCAATCAAAATCAACAAATTCTCATTGACAATATTGACTGTGGTCGCTTGGCAATGGATAAACATGGACTTCTGTATGTTTCTGATTGGAAGAAGAATGAAGTGAGACGATGGAAAATGGGAGAATACAATGAAGGAATTGTAGTGGCAGGTGGAAATGGAAAAGGAGATCAACTTAATCAACTTAATTTTCCTGCCTATATCTTTGTTGATGAAGAACAATCTGTTTATATATCTGATCAAAACAATAATCGTGTGGTAAAATGGAGAAAAGATGCAAAAAAAGGAACAGTTGTAGCTGGAGGAAATGGTCAAGGAAGAAATCGGAATCAACTGCATCATCCTCAAGGAATCATTGTTGATCATTTTGGTCAAATCTATGTAGCAGATTTTTGTAATCATCGAATAGTACGTTGGCGTGAAGGAAAAAAAGAAGGTGAAATTGTTGTTGGTGGAAATGGTAAAGGAAATCAATCAAATCAATTGAATGTTCCCATGGGTTTATCATTTGATGATGAAGGAAATCTTTATGTCGTTGATTATTTGAATCATCGAATTGAAAAATTTGAAATAATTATGTAAATAAAATTTTGATTTTGTAGAAAGCAAAATAATTTTTTGTTCAATAAAAAAATCGAGAAATAAAACTATAAGAAAAAGTGAAGTTTCATTGTTGAAAATCAATGAAAATGAATTTAATTTGATAATTTTGATTAAAAAATTTGAATTGAAATGAATTACTGTTAAAAAGATTTTTGTATAGATGAAAACTAAAAAAAGAATTTTGAAATAAAAATGAATAAAAAGGATGTGGGTATGGTTGATAAACACAATACTTTCAGTCTACTCACCCTCAAGATGCATAAAATGTTGCTAATACCAAATTCTGTTCAATAAAAAATGTACTTCATTGAACGAATAATATGCCTTTTTTGTATCGATTCCATTATTTCTAAGGTCGAGAGTGGTGAGTGTCTATATTGTAACATAATGATGAATTCGTACTTGATGCAAATAAAACTTATTTCACCATGTTATTCGGAAATTCGGAAATGCATAAGCCAAATATTGTGCTCCTTCAGTACCGATGCCATTGGATCGCAGATCAAGTGTGATGAGTGTCTGTATCGAAATCTAATGATATATTTATAGTTATTGAGAAGATCTTTGTCTCACTGTATTACGCTGTAAAGCGTGAGCTAGATATTGTGCGCCTATACTATCAATCTGGTTTTTTCGAAGATCAAATGTTATAAGTGTCTGTACTTGAACAATGATAAATTAATAATAACAAAAGGAAAATTTACCTTACCTTATTACTTTCCAATGCCTGGGCAAGATATTGTGGTTCTTTGGCACATATTTGATTTCTTTCGAGATTGAGCATAGTGAGAGTCTGTAATGGAACATAAAAGTGAATATATCGTGAATAAGAGAAAATTTATCATACCGAATTATTTTGTAACATTTGAGCTAGATATTGTACCCCATCAGCTAGAATGTAACTGCATTCAAGATTGAGTAAAGTGATTGCCTGTATTGAAATATTATAATGAATATACGATCGTATTGTCGCAAAAAACTTCTCTTACCGTATTACTTTGCAATGCATGAGCGAGAAGTTGAATTTTTTTATGATTTAGTAACTGACTTCCTAGTTTCAGTTCGGTGAATGTCTATAAAAATAAATTAATACTAAACGATATTTTAACGATAAAAGTAAGACTATAATTTACCCCGTATTGAGTATAAGTACTAATGATGATATTAAAACGTGTGCATACATTTTGAATTGATAGAAAAATATCTAGTCGTTCAAAATTATCCAATATTCGATAGACTAATTCGACGGGTAATGTTAGAAAAGATGAATTCATTTTGTTGCCTATTGTTTTTTTTCTAAAATTTATTATAATACATGTTATATGCTCTTCAAAGCTTGCTTTTATGTATTGTAAGTCATAAATTTCTCGTTCTTGTGCAATGTCGTATGAATGTAAGATTTGGATTTTTTCTGCCGATTGTCAAAAAAGCAGAAGATAAGCACTACATGAATCATTTGAAGAAAACGAAAAAAAAAAATATGTGGATGCAATTAATAAAAGAATATCGACATTTATATTCGTAAAATATGACAGTCTTTCAAGAGAATTTTTAATTGTTCATTATTTAGTATAAAACAAGTTATCTTTTTAAAAAATAAACGAAAATATTTATTTGAATTATGAATTTAAAGTATTTTTTTATATTTTAATATAAATACAAAATACTGATTATTATAATCGAGTATCCATTGAAATTTGTTACTCAGTTGGACAACACGAAGTAGACAATGAATGATCTTGAGGTGAAGTGTTAATCAATGGTGTTGTTTCCGTTGTTAAAGAATTAATTTGAGTTCGTGTTCGAATTCTAATAATACCAAAAATAAAATGTCCCAAAATCAAACCAAATATAAGAGCAATAAAAATACCAATATCATATGTCATGACTAATAACATTAAACAATAAGCAAGGAACATATGAACTCCATATGATACAGTCGAGTCCACTTATAAGAGCTCCGGATAAAGGAGCCGTCCGCTTATAAGAGCTGTTTTTATCTATATGATTATATATATGCATGTATGTTCTTCTTCTTTTTCTTTCCTGTCATATATATGTGATGAATTTCTCCTTTCTTCTTTCTTTCATGTTGTCCTATGTTGGATTTTTCGTTCATGTTCATCATCTGAGGGATTTTCGATTTCATGCATTTTTCGTTCTTTCTTGGTTCTATATAATGTCATCATTTTTCGTTGAGTTTTTACTTTTCAAAGAATGGCATCTTGAGGGTGTGGGTGTGTATAAGGGCGTGTTTTAGTGTAACTCTTGCTTTAATTAATTATAAGTTATCGTCACTTACAAACACACCTACATTCACACCCACACCCACACCCTCAAATCGATATAGAGTGAGATATATTCTCGTGCAGATTACTCATACAAAATCGATAGACATATTGTTGTTCTTTTGAAAGTATATCATTTTGAATATGATAATATCCATGCTCAATTCTCATTTTTAAACTCTCTTCACTATCGAATAAACACCATTCTATTTTGTTTTTTTAATTCAGATGTAAATAACAGTATATAATCATTAATATAGTTCACTATAGAAAGATCGGATAATAAAAATCACACTCACACCCATGCGGTGTAATTATTATAACTGCCACGAATTTTAACTATAAACAGAACACATAGGAGTTCATTTTTTCTTATTAAGGGTGTGGATGCCAATTAAAAGAAGATAAAGACCCACACTGATGCCCTCAAAAAAGAACGCAACTATAATATTCATTCATGAAAGTTTGTTATGTTCGTTGCCAATGTACTTTGTTGCTGATCTCTCTTGTATTTCGTATTTACATTTTCAAAAGAATCCAAAAAAAAAATACAATCATTTGCCATTAAATAATAGCTGTGTCATTGACTGCCTTTCTTTTCGCGGAGTGCTTTTGAATTTATAAAAGCCACATGCATACTTTCTATACTGATTTTTTATTTTTAAACCTAGATAAAGAACGATAATCGATGTTTTGAGCACATTGGTACCGATGATTAAAACTATAGTCTGTGAATGCAGGCAAAACGAGACACATATACAATCTATTGTTAACATGAGACAAAATGTGTACAAAATCATTTATAACGTAACGAATCGTTTTCAATAGATTCTAATCAAGACAATCATATGAAATACACAATTTAATTGAAATGCTGTTGATAATGTTTGTTTTTATTAAATTCTATTTATCATGAACATGAGTGTGGATGTGGATACCAATTAATAGAACATTTAGACCCACAGCCACACCCTCAAAGATATATCTGAGCGGTTCTATGTTAAACGTTTAGTCAGACAAGAGTTGGTTTGCGAAGTTTTGTAAGCTATCACGTATCTACGCACTTTCGGCTTTATTAATGACTATTCATGCGTTCAAAGATAGGTTTTGGTATCCTTTGTATTATTTTAGTATTATTTTTTGATACTATTGTCTACATGAAGTCCTTTCTATAAACCTGTAAATATCATTTTTCTATTCCAGATTTCTTTTGTATACCAGGAAGTGAACTGTTATTATCAGGTTCAGTATACCTATTCATTTCAAGTAATAGGTTACGAATCAAGAGATAACTGAAGAACAAGCACGATCATCTGCACGATTTGGTCACTTCCATATTTCAGTGAGTTCTTGTTTGAGAGTGTGGGTGGGGTGTGCTTGAATGAAGAGTTGGTAACCACACGCACATGCTAACAATAAAAGAAAGGATAATAACAGAAAAGGAAACCAAAGTACGAAATAGAGTGTGAGAGAATAGAATGATAAGAAAGAGTAATAATAGCGAAATAGGACAGAGCATGAGAAGAAAGGATCATAATAATAAAATAAAGGATAACAACAGCAAAGGAGAGCAAAGTACGAAGCAGAGTGTGAGAGGAAAAGATGGTAAGGACAAACGAAAAGATATTGAAGACAATACACAAATAAGACGAATCACGCGGAGGCGTCACAGTAAAGTTGAAAAACACGAATCTTTAAAAAAAATCGAGTGTGTGTGGGTGTAGATATATAAATAATAATCTTGTACCCCCTCCTACACCTATATCCACCCCAATTTCTGGATATAATATCGAATAAATATAATATACATTGTTTAGGACTCTTTAGATAATATCTGTAGATATGCTGCCTTTCTTTCGATGGTTGGTACCAATACACAAATATTCTACTCGTTTTATGTCTAAATATAGTAGAACACCCATTAGTAAAACTGTTGACTTACTCGATAGGCCTCTTGTCTCGCATTCAGGAGCTGTTACTCACGACTCTCTTCAACTCCATTATTGGGAATGGCGCGGCGCAAAACCGACGATACTTTTTTGTCATGGAGCCGGATTTCATGCACGATGCTTTGATTCGATTATTGAACAAGCTTTACCCACATCAAACGTTATCTCTGTCGATTTGCGAGGTCATGGTCGTTCTCAGAAACATCCAGGCCCGTACTCTTTTCGCTGGTTCGGCGAGGATATGGCTTGTTTTATTCAAAAGCTTGACCTTGAAAATATTGTTGGTGTGGGACATTCGATGGGTGGTTATTCTTTGGTACTAGCCGCAAGCAATCTATTACAAAAAGGCAAAAAATCAAGATTTCGTTCGTTACTTCTTCTCGATCCGGTTATTTTTCCACATGACATGTATGTAAATGAAAATTCTTTATTTTATAAGAACGTCATAGCCATATTCGAAACGCATCTTCGACGTAAAGCTCAATGGTTATCTATTGAAGATATGATACAATACATGATTAAACGAGAGCCATTTTCACGTTGGCCCAGTGCTATTCTTCATGATTATTGTTCATTTGCCATTGATAATAACAACCGGCTTTTGTGTTCACCAGAAACTGAGGTTTCCATATATAACAGCTGCATGCATGAGTCGGCTAAAATCTATGACGATATTAAGCATTCTAACAACCTCAATGGCATTCCAATCCATGTTGTTCGCTGTTCGAAACCGTGCGTCGTCCCGATAACCATGGACGCCTCTTTAACAGCACCAACACTTGCAAAGTGCTTTGCACAGGCCCACGACACAGTATTGGACAATACGACCCATTTATTCCCAATGGAAAAACCACATCTGGTTGTTGAACTACTGAAAGACATGATTTGAACTAATATTGCTACATATAGATGTGATCGTGATAATCTACGCTTTTTAGTCTCGATTCACAATATATTTTAATTATCCTTCTAAAATTTTTGCTATTCACTAATAAACAGATATTGTTAGTAACTTAGTAAGTGTGAGACCTTGAGTCCACTTGTTTTTATTTCTATATTACTATTTACCTCTGTTCCTCTTCAACAACATCACACATATATGTAGGACGTTAGCCTAAAGGGAAAATCTTGAGGGTGAGAGTGAAGGAATGTGGTGGGCATAAGACTCACACCCACATCCTATTATTCCTCACTTATATGTTATTTCTTTGCGAAAACAAAATATAGAATATAAGTTTATTAGTCGATTATAAAGGACACCATACAGTAAGATCGTCAATCTGCCACCATTCCGCATTCGTTTCAAACATAATAGAAAAATAGAGCTTGAAATTCTGCATCTTCTCATATATTTCTTTATTTTCCAATGAATATAAACAAAAGTTTTTCATGGACGATTTTATCTAAGAGAGAGGGATGTATGAGTGTTATATAGATTTTCGCAGTCTTAATCTCATGAACAAGATTAATAACTTAAATGGATGTGGATGTTTATTCGTTTTTCACTTCTACAGACATTCAGCTCAAAACTTACATCAACACTCACATTCTCACATACACCCACACCCTTAAGATGTTATGTATTTTGACTTTTGTGATAAAACAAAACAAAGCCTTAACATAATAATAAATCCTTTGAAAAATTAAACTTTGCTAATTCTGAATTATTTTATAAGATAAATATATTTCAAATTAGTTAATAATGTTTTGTATATAATAAAAGGTGTGAGTATGCACGCATGAGCAAAAGTGTGGAAAGTATAGTCATTTTTTACCCACACCCTCAAAATTAATTTGAATCAGAGACATTCAGTGTCGTTGACAACTCGTCGCTGCCAGAATGCAAGGAATATCAGATAATTAATCTGAGTTTCACGACTTTGATTATGTTTGAATAGAACTTTTGCTACTAATTGATGAGATCCATCCATTTCTAGAGTTTTGTTTTTGCATATATTGAATTTCGACTTGAATTTATACATCTTTTTCATGTCTCTCGCGAACTACATCATATGATGATGAACAATTCTGCTTGTGATTTATCTGATACAAAAGTACTTATTGCGCATAAAGAAACAAAGAACGTGATAAAAGGTGAGTCCTGACAAAGTAGATTATTTAACAGAGTCAAATAGAAAAATATCAAAAAAATCATGACTTATTCATTGACGTCAATCATTTATTGACGATGATAGTTGATATCTTATTTTAACTGAAACACGTCTGATGATTGTCCTAGATTATGATTAATTGTTTTTTCTCTTTATCACGTTCTTCTTCAATACACTCAAATATTTTTCTATGAAATCAAATGATGAATTTTGTTCATTAATCCAATCTAAAATCAATTATTTGTCTTATCGACGACGAACCCCTCTATATAACACTATTTTTTCTCTTTGTATTATCTTGGAGGAAATAAATGAGAGAAAAAGAGAGATATATAATTAGAGAGAAAATCTACAATGAATATCATTTAGTTTTCATCGAAGATAAAGAAGAAGAAAAAGAGTATTTTATCAGTTGACCGATTTATCAAAAAAAAAATTTTTTGAATGATGTGGAATATCTACATATTTATCATTATTCTTCTGTTCATTTTCAACAATGAAGCATCAGGTATATACTTTTATTCATCACATACTGAAGATCGGCTATTGCACAAAAATGACATAATTAATCAGTTTTAGTTAAACAAAAGAGAGTCAAATAACAGATTATCGAATTTGACAGGAATTTCTGTATTTAATTAAAGATTAGCAAGAGAATTTTCTCTTCTCTTTCACATATTAGATTCCACTGAAATGATTTAACATGAATAACTTCACAATGTTTAGATTTTGATCAATTTTTTTGTTTTCCATGGAAATCAAATCTTTTTAAAACTAATCTCATTAAATTTTTCGAATAAAAAAACATGAACTAATGGTTTCATTTCGTCTCCAGTTCTTGTCTAATGTTCTTTTTTTTCTCAATTTTAGCTCTTTCATTCAATCAACCAAAGTTTTGTCCAACAGCCATTTGGAATTCCAATGGTATTACAATTGCTAATCGATCGATTGTTGGTCAGTCTTTTTTCGCCATTTTTGTGAACACAAACAACACAATCTATGTTGCTAATCAAGAAGAAAACACAATTGTAATGTGGCAAGAAGAGAATGTCAGTTCAACAAAGATCATTTCGGGTAACTTTATAGAACCCAATTCTCTCTTCGTGATATCGAATGGTGATATTTTTATTGACGATGGTGTTAAGAATGGTCGAGTGCAGAAATGGAGCGTAGAAACAAATAACTTTGTTACAGTGATGAATGTCAGTTCAAAATGTGATGGTTTATTTGTCGATGTCAATGATACTCTTTACTGTTCAATGCCTGAGCATCATCAAGTAGTGAAAAGATTATTAAGTAATTCTATGATGAATTCAAATCGTGTTGCTGCCGGAACTGGCATTTACGGATCAGCCTCAAATCAATTCCACGGTCAACATGGAATTTTTGTCGATGTAAATTTGGATTTATATGTGGCAGATTGCGAAAATCATCGAGTTCAGTTGTTTCATTCAGGAGAATCAAATGGCATTACAGTAGCTGGAAGTAAATCACTAAATCCAACAATTACACTTCGTTTTCCAACTGGAGTAATATTAGATGCTGAGAAATATTTATTCATTGTGGATCGGTACAATCATCGCATTGTTGGTTCAGACTTGAATGGTTTTCGATGTTTAGTTGGATGTTATGGAATGGGTTCACAATCCAATCAATTGAATAAACCATTTAGCTTGAGTTTCGATCATTCTGGAAACATGTTTGTTACTGATCAATCAAATCATCGAATTCAAAAATTTTTACTGATGAAAGATTCTTTTAGTAAGTTGAAGAGATGTGAATAGATAAGTAACAGAAGTTAAAAAAACAAAAATGGTTGAGAAAAATTAATTAAAACAATGTGTAAAAGATTTAGTTGCTGGGAGTAATATTGGATAGTTGAAGACAATTTATAAATATGGTACCTTGCCTTTTTCTTCATTTTATACTAAAACTATTGAAATCCCTAAAATAATATTAAAATTACAAAGAAAGATTTGTTTTATTTCAGTTGAATAAAGACGAGATTATGTGTGAAACAAAAGAAGAACCTTTGAGGATCATAATAAATGTTATTTTTTGTCTCATTTTACGCTCGCAATAACATAGATATTTCTCGTTTTCCATTGATTTTTTCTCTAAATCGACTTGAAGTATCTATCAAAAAAATTTCAGAGAAAAATCTGAAATGGAAAACCTACAGAATTATTTAAAAAAAACAATTTTATAATTAAAATTCACTTGAAAAAGACTTATATTTATGTCGTTTTCAGCTCTTCCATTCAATCAACCAAAGTTTTGTCCAACAGCCACTTGGAATCCCACTGGAATTAACTTTGCTAATCAATCTATTGTTGGTCAAGATCCTTTCGCCATTTTTGTGAGCACAAACAATACAATCTATGTTGCTAATCAGCAAAATAGCACAATTATAATGTGGCAAGAAGAGAATATCAATCTAACAAAGATCATTACCGGTAATTTTACAGAACCTTGGTCTCTTTTCGTGACAACAAATGGTGATATTTATGTTGATGATGGTGAGAAGAATGGTCGCGTTCAGAAATGGAGTGTAGCAACAAATACCTTTGCCACGGTGATGAATGTTAACTCATTATGTTCCGGTTTGTTTGTCGATATCGATGATACTCTTTACTGTTCAATGTTTAATCATCAGCAAGTAGTAAAAAGATCATTCAATGATTCTATCGTGACTCCAAACTGTGTTGCCGCAGGAACAGGTATTGACGGATCAGCCCCGAATCAGCTCTATGGTCCTGCTGGAATTTTTGTCGATGTGAATTTTGATTTATATGTAGCAGATTATTACAATGATCGAGTTCAGCTATTTCAGTCAGAAGAACCAAATGGCATTACAGTAGCTGGAAGTGGATCACTAAATTCAATAATTACACTTGTTCGTCCAACTGGAGTAATATTAGATGCGGAGAAATATTTATTCATTGTAGATAGTAATAATCATCGCATTGTTGCATCAGGTTTGAATGGTTTTCGATGTTTAGTTGGATGTGATGAAGAGGGTTCACAATCAAATCAATTGAATAATCCATATAGTTTTAGTTTCGATCCTTCTGGAAACATGTTTGTGACGGATCAATCAAATGATCGCATTCAAAAATTTAAATATTTAAAAAGATATTGTGGTAAGTTGAAATATAATCGAACGAGATGATGAGATGTGAATGTTGATAGTGAAAAGCTGTATATAGTTTTCGCTAGAAGAATTTAAAATATGAAATTTCAATTGATTTTATTGTTTATTTAGTCAATACTTTCTCTGTTATCCAAAAGACCTATTCATCATCATTGACACACAACAATCAAATGTATTACCGAGATTGTCAGAAGGAACTTTTTTATTATGAATCTATTCAAGTGAAGGTGAATAAAAGTGGTTACTACAGTTTTCGTGGTAGTGGTGACATTGATCCATATGGATCTATTTACAAAAATAAATTTAATCCACTTGATCCATCGGAGAATTTAATCGATCAAGATTATGCCCGTTATTCTAATATTCAGTTTAAATTTGATATTCTTCTTAATGTTGATATGATATACGTATTGGTTGTGACAACATTTGATTCAAAAGAAACCGGAAAGTTTTTGATCGTTGTGTTGAGTGAAAACAAAGTTATTCTCGAGCGTCTTAGTAAGTATACAGATATTTGTGTAATACATAGTACATCTTCTAGATTCAATTCCAACAGAATATTTATTCGTATATTTTGAATGAGATGTCTGGAAATATTTGACCATCTAATGCTAAAAATCCAAAGAGTATCTTGCTTTAACTCAGTACTTTTATATTTCAATGACATACTGATTTCAGAATACTCACTTAGAGAATGTGAATTTTCTAATCTCTATTTGTAAAATTAAATCTTCATAGAAAATCTCAAAAATTTCCTTTTTGTCGATGTTAGATCATAGTATCAAAATTCTATGAATTATTTGACTTTTTTTTTATTGAACAGGTACTCCAGTAAATATTCGATTAATATATTCATCAAAATTAACTGATAATAGCCCAACATATTATCGAGATTGTCAAGTACCGCAATGTCATTATGAAACTCTACAAATTCATGTTAATACAACGGGTTTGTATGTTCTTTGGAGTGAAAATAATATTAAAGCATACGGATATATCTACAAGAATGATTTCAATCCTCTGAAACCATCTGAAAATTTACTTCTATCACATGATGGGAAATGTAATGATGGAAACTTCAAGTTAATCATCAATCTCGAGATTAACACTCAATATATATTAGTAGTGACAACGCACGAACCTAAGATAATTGGGAACTTTTCAATTTTTATCTCTGGATCAAACAATATCAGTCTTAGTCCTTTCAGTAAGTATTTATATGATTTTTTTCTGTAACAAATACATGCATAAAACATATGAAAAGAAGATTTCTTATATTTTTTCATTAGTGAATAACTGTTATCTTGAATGTTGCTACTTACATCTTTTTAAATCCTTGTGGATGTTAAGTTTTCGAGGACTCGAAATCTTCGTTATTCTCTTTTCAAAATTTATCCGATACTTTAGGTCCAAAACAAAGTAGTTGTGTGATTGGTGATCAATGTAACTTTTACATCAAAGGAATTGGTTTGACACTCGATGATATTTTACGCGATCAACTTCAACTAAATACAGCGTTGAATAATCAATCATTTTCGATTAAATTAAGTGCGGGCTTAGCAATAATTATGTTCATCGCAGGATTAATCAATAGTATTCTTTCTTTTATTACATTTCAAAGTAAAGATGCTCAACAAGTTGGATGTGGAATGTATCTAATAGCATCATCAATTACTTCTCTTTTAACAATTACGATGTTCATAATCAAATTCTGGTTTGTTGTTCTTACTCATATCAATGTGTACACTAGTGTGTCTGTTCTTCGTGGAGGTTGTGTCTCTATTGAACCGATTCTAAAACTTTTTCTCTACTTGGATGGTTGGCTTAATGCTTGTGTAGCAGTTGAACGAGCAGTACTTATTCTTAAAGGAGTAAACTTTGATAAGAAAAAGAGCAAATCTATTGCTCGACGAACAATTCTTATTTTACCATTCTGTATTTTCGGTACACTTATTCACGAGTTTGTCTTTCGCCGATTGTTCGAATATAAAACAGCACCAGATACGAGTAAGACTAATGAAGACACAATCAAACGATATGTATCATGCATCACTCGTTATTCTCCATCTGTCCAAGATTACAATACAGCCATTCTATTTTTTCATCTTGTTGGTCCATTTATTGTTAATCTTTTCTCTGCATTGTTCATCATCTTTGGAGGTGCTTACCAGCGATCAATAACACGAACTAACCAAAGTTTTAAAGAACATATTCAAGAACAATTTCGTGAGCATAAACAATTGATCATTAGTCCAATAGTTTTACTCGTTTTATCAATACCTCGTCTCATCATTTCATTACTTCCGAGTTGTGTGAAAACATCTGAGAACTTGTGGTTGTATCTTGGAGCATATTTCATTTCTTTTACTCCTTCGATGCTAATTTTTCTTATCTTTGTCTTTCCTTCGGAAATGTATATGAAAGCGTTTAAACAATCGTTCATTCGTACTCGACGGCGTATTCCTTCATAATCAGTGCATTCAATTTCAATGACATGACTGTTGTAATGATTACAATAGACATTTCAATATTGTTTTGTCACATTTTTTTTTCAAATCTAGTGTATAGTTGAAAATAAACATGTAAAACATCAAATGTTGTTCTTTTACAAAATAGTTAGAAGAATTTAATCGATATAAGTTGAAAGAGCAGAAGAAAAACAAATTATAATAACGAAAAGAAAAACTACGATACGATCATATATGAAAGAAAAGAGGAGAATACTAGAAGAAAATACCATGTGACTATACATGTGGTTAATATAACAAAAGAATTATTTATTTGTTCGCTTACAAGTGGTATAGATGAAATTCTTGTTCAAATAGTTTCGTTTTGGTAAGTTAATATTTTGAAAAAATATAAAAATGAGCAAAAAAGAATATTATATAATAACTATCTTGAGAACGAGAGTGAAGATGATAACAGTGTAAGATTGAATTAAAATGAACATGACGATACAGTCGGGTACATAAGACACTAATATATCATCTGTTTCGAGGGTAACCATCTATATTTAATCTTCATCCACATCCAAATCTACATTAGAACATTCTTTCATGGAAAAAACATCATTAGAATTGTTTAAGTTTTTATTTGAAATTAAAAACGCATCATCTTTTACTACTGAACAGGATTTTTATTATCATTGACTTCTTTAATATACATCTAGAAACTTATGTTCAAAGACATGGCAATGACAAACAATAAAACGCATTGTTTTACATGTAATAAAGACAAAATAACATATCCTTGTGAAGGATGTTTGAAAAACTTTTGTTTAATGGATTTAACAAAACATCGTCAAATACTAAATGAAGAACTACATCATATTATTAATGATTATAATCAATTTAAACAAAGATTTAGTGAACAAAAACCAAATCCACATGATCTTTCTTTAATAAATCAAATTAATCAATGGGAAATAGATTCAATTATAAAAATTCAACAAAAAGCAAGAGATTGTAGAGAAATTGTCATTAACTCATCACAAATATGTATTAATGATATTGAAAAGAAATTTAATGATTTAAATGAACAAATAAAACAAATTCACAGTGAAAATGAATTTAATGAAATTAATTTAAATTATTTAAGAAATCAATTAATAAAAATTAGAGAAGAATTAAATAATCCACCAAAGACTTCTATTATACAAGATTTTCAACTATTTATTAATGATGTTCCAATTATTCCATTAGAAAAAAGTAAATTTCTAATAAATAACTTCTAAAAGAAAAATTCTAATTGTCTATGAATATATATTAAAAAACTATAATACAAAGAAAAGTGATGATAAAGAAAGTAGTTAATAAAAACACATTGCTAGAATTTCATCACTTTTAGGTGTTTTATATTAAAGCTTTTGAAAGATTAGAAAAATAAAATACAATTTGTCTCTTTATTAAATATATTTTATTTTCTAGAACCAAAATTCAACAAATGGAAACAAAATGCCATCACTGTAGCTTCTGAAAACGGACCAGGACAGAAGTTAAATCAATTCAATTGCCCTTATGGGATCTTTATTGATAAAAAGAAAAATATTTTCATTGCTGATTATCTGAATCATCGTATTGTTGAATGGAAATGTAATGCAAAGGAAGGAAAAGTTGTTGCAGGTGGCAATAAAGAAGGTAATCGAATAGATCAATCAAATTGTCCAACAGATGTGATTGTTGATCAACAAACTCATTCAATTATCATTGCTGATCAAGGAAACAGACGAGTGATTCAATGGGTGAATCAAAATCAACAAATTCTCATTCACAATATTGACTGTTTTGGCTTAGCAATGGACAAACATGGATTTCTTTATGTTTCTGATTATAAGAAGAATGAAGGAGACGATGGAAAATGAGTGAATACAACAATGAAGGAACTGTAGTTGCAGGTGGAAATGAAAAAGGAAATCAACTTAATCAACTAAATTCTCCAGGTTTTCTCTTTGTTGATGAAGTTCAATCTATTTATGTAGCCGATAGAGATAATTATCGTTTGATGAAATGGATAAAAGATGCAACAGAAGGAACAATTGTGGCTGGAGGAAATCTGAATCAATTATTCTACCCTCGAGGAATAATTGTTGATGGTTTGGGTCAAATCTATGTAGCAGATTTTTGTAATCATCGAATAATGCGGTGGTGTGAAGGAAAAGAAGAAGGTGAAATTATTGTTGGTGGAAATGGTCAAGGAAATCAATCAAATCAATTGAATGGTCCTTATGGTTTATCATTTGATGATGAAGGAAATCTTTATGTTGCTGATAGTTTTAATCATCGAATTCAAAAATTTGAAATAATCTTGTAAATGAAATTTTGATTTTGAAAAAAAGATAAGAAGTTTTTTGTTAAATAAAAAATGGAATAAAACTTGAAAAAAGAGAATTTTTTGATGAGAAAACAATAAAGAAAAATCGAATTGAAATGAATATTGTTGAACAGATTTTCGGATGAATGAAGAAAGAAAAATGAACAAAAGATTAGAGATAAAATCAAAAATTAGCAAAAGTCTTGAGGTGGTACAAAATTCAAATTTAATTGTTAGCTTCAAAGAGTGTTAATCAAATGAAAATTGTGGATGAGTGCGTGTCGATAAAATAAGAGCTCAACACTCATCCTCAAGAAAAATTTCAGATCAATATATTCTTCATTATCATTATTACGATCATGTATAACTTTTTTCTTAAATTATTTTTCAGAAATGAAGATATGATGATTGCTTACACTATTCTGCATTTAGTTATAGTAGAAAACAAGTGTAATATGATAACCAAGTGCGAAAGTCCAATTGGTCGGCCGCCATCTGAAAGTTACTTCCGAGTCGGAAGCTTCGACTCACAGCACGACATTATCCTTCGCGCATTGCATCAACAACAACTCAGGAAAATCGAAGAAGAAAATGTTACGTTTGCGATAATACGGTGAGAAGACCTAAGACAAGGAAATATACTTCGTATGAATGTATTGAATGTCATGTGGGATTGTGTCTTATAGATTGTTTTAAAGAATATCTTCGAAAAGCATTTTGAGTTAAATATTTCATCATATTTTTTGTAAAATAAATGTTGATTTGAAATTATAGAAACTTTCACTATATAAAAATAATCCCGGACTTAAAGTGTTAAAACTATGTCAACGTTAAACAAAGCAGAATGATTTCATACATTTTCTTTTTTATTCTATTAAAAATGAAAACGAAGTATAATGAATCACAAAAGTCTCTTATCACTATTGTACTGATCCTTTTGAAAAAAAAATATTTTAAATTTCATTTGTGAATGACGATATTATAAAGAAAACATCAATTAATGTGAAACATTGAACATCTTTAATTATTCGTAATATACTTTATTTTATGAATATCGCTGGATAGAAAAATTATATAAATAAATTCATATTGAGAAACGATAGAAGACTTTTAATATTTTCATTATAATTTTGTAGTTTTTTCTTAGTTTTATTTCATATTAGAGAATATATTTTCTAGTGAAGTTATATGTATGCGCAGTATTTAACTTCTCGTATATAAATATCGAATCAAATGGAATTCGTATTATACAGTCTTAATACAAAAGAGAAAGCAAGAAAAATAACAAGAGGTTTTTCATATTTATTATATTATATGTTACGAAGAAAGGAAAAAAACGATAAAAGCGTTTGTTTTTTTTACTTAATTATATACTTAATACTATTGTGCAATGTAAGTGAATCAAATCTGGTACATTCACATATTTTTGTTATCAAAATTCTTTAGACACATTGTATATTTCATTTCTTCTCCCTTGTTCTTTCAGAATTTCTCTTAATAAAATATTCCTTCATCTTCTATTCATGTCTTATTCGAAAAATAGTACAAACATTTTTCTTCGGGCAGTATTTTTTTATCCTGTTTTCTTTTTCTTGATCTATAACCATCACTGAGTGAATATCACTTGATGATAGATATTAGTTTTTAACTCAATTTTTACATAGACGTATCTACACAGAAGAAATATTCTAAAATATCTCTATTTTTGGTAATTTCCACTAAATACTAATGTAGATCAAATGAAATAGTGACCGTAACTATTTTTATAATTACTCAAAAGAAGAAGTGCCAGAGAGCTGCAAGTTTCATTATTATGTAGGTATATATGTTCTCTATATATTCAGTAAAACATATTGGATATTCTGGCAGAATTAAGAGCTTCGTCAATATCAATCATCTAAAGGTTACATGACAGTTTTTTATAGTTCTGTAAGGACCTATATAGCTTGCGAGTGTAGATGTGAGTGATAAAAAAACAAAACCTCACATTCACTTACATTCTCACATCCACATTCTATAGATAGTATAGTTACGTATGATATAGCTATGAGATATGTATTTGGATGAGTACTTATAATTAAACTCTTATCCATATATCAATTTTATAAACTGTAAGAATATTGTTCAAAAAAATGTAAAGTATACGATTTGATGTAGTAGTTTAATTTCTTCTTTCAAACAATGCAAAACGCAGGTCTTTCTCTTGTTCCTATGAAAATATGTTCTAAAAATACTCATTTATTTCGAAAGGAGCAATAATTAAGAAATTATGAGAATCATTTGATAGCAGCAGTATTTAATATTTTCTTATTTTTGTCTATCTCTAAAATTGAAAGATGTCGAAGTTATTATTGTGGTGTATGAGTACATTTATTATATCTGCTTCTGTATATTAGACAAAATGAGATTTCAACTAGTAAGACGTACAGAGAAGAGTAACATATAATTGATTTCTATAAATATGTTTTCTCACTTTAGTTGATGATCATAATGAAATTTTTTTCCAACTCTTATTTGCAAGAATATTAAAAAAAATATGGGAAGATTTTCGTTCATCTGGCTTGACGAATCGATCAATATTTCAAAAGAAAACATTGAAATCCAACGATTTCGAATGTTAATTGATAATCTTATGCTATTGGAAGATGAACATCAGTACGAAGAATATATCCGGAATTCATTAGAGGACGATAGAATTATCCTCATAATTGGTGGTCAATTAACTGAAAAACATGTCCCGCAAATTCATCACCTGCCACAAATTCTTTCAATTTATATTTATTGTTCACATGAAGAAAAACATGAGCAATGGATAAAACAATATAATAAGGTGTAGAAATATCTATTCTTAGTTGTCGATATATATCTTTAAATAAAATCTTTCAATTTAGATTAGAGGTGTATTTACTCAGTCAAATAAACTTATTGAAAATATCCTTTTGAATCACAATGAACAAAATTATAATACTGATCGATCAATTTCATTTGATATTTTTGATGCAAATAATATTAATAATGGACATTCAACAAGTAATCTTAACGGAGAATTTATTCATTCGCAATTACTGATTGACTGTCTTATTCGATTAAAATCAAATGTAAATTCAAATGAAAAAGATGAATTTCTTTCTTTTTCTAAGGAATATTATAAAGCGGATGAAACTATTGTAAAAAATCTTCAAAACTTGTTAGAAGACTATTCTAAAGATAAAGCAATACAGTGTTATACAAGTGGCAAACGTATATTTCACGTATTAAACAAAGCACTTCGTAATAAAGAAATTGATCATTTATATTATCTTCGTTTTTTTCTTCGTGATATGGAAGAAGAGTTAAAAGCAATTTCACGTGAATCGCCTACTATTCATGTTTATCGAAGTCAAAAAATGTCATTGCATGAAATTCAAAAGTTAAAAACTTCTATTGGACAATTTATTTCGATTACTACATTTCTCTCAACATCCTGTAACTCATTGGTAGCTGGCATGTTTCTATCAAATAAGTCGTCATCAGATGGCTTAGAATGTGTGATTTTTGAAATTGAAGCTAATTCTAACTTAAATAATATCAAACCATTTGCTGATATTTCTGGTAAAAGTTGGTTTCCAGACGAAGAAGAAGTACTTTTTATGGCAGGATCTATCTTTCGGCTTAATGACGTTTATCTCGATGATAAAATCTGGCATGTTAAATTACAACTGAGTTCTCATGAAGATGAACAACTTAAATCACTAATGGATTATATGATAAATGAATATGAATCTGAAGAAGTAAATCTTTTTTCATTTGGAAATATTCTTCGTGGTATGGGCAAATTACATGATGCTAAAAATTACTATGATCGTTTTCTTAAGGAAGCATCCGATGGTCATCATGATTTAGCTGGATGTCATCATTCACTTGGCATTATCGCAGATGAAAATGGAGATTATGAGCAAAGTCTAAAACATTTTCAAAATTCACTTGAAATCGATAAACAATCATTGTCAGATATAAATCATCCTAATATAGCTCTCAGTTACAATAGTATTGCTGTTGTCTATACCAAAAAAGGTGATTATCAGAAAGCATTAAATTTTTTCAACCAAGCATTGATAGTATTCAAGTATGTAAATGGTGACGACGATCTAGAAGTTGCTGGATGTTATTACAATATTGGAGGTGTGTATCAGACTACAAAGGAATACTTGAAGGCACATGATTATTATCAGAATGCATTGTCAATTCGTAAAAAACATCTTCCTGAAAATCATCTTGATATTGGTGAATCTCAATGTTCTATTGGAAATATTCATTTATTATTAGATCAACTGGATTTAGCTTTAGAATGTTATTATTCTGCACTAGAAATCTATAAAAAATCATGTTCTGATCAACATTCTGATATTGCCATTGTCTTAGAAAATTTAGGTCTCGTTTATGAACAGAAAGGTGATTGGCAACATGGACTGGCATATTTTCAAAAAGCAAAAAATATTTATATAAATATGTCACTTCACCAACATCCGACGATGAAAAAAATCGAAGATGGTATTATTCGTATTTCATCTAAACTAAACTAAATATATATCGAACAAAAACAAATCTTTTTATTATATGTATTCTATTGTATCGTAGTTGATAGCTAAGCTTGTATTAATATATCTTTAAAATTTATAATTCTTTTGCATCTTTATTTCAACATTAATCATATAAGATCAAATATAATAATTAATTATTTATGTAATAGAAATACTTTTCTTTCTTTCTCAAAGTTATCGACTTTGAAATTTGAATAAAGATACCAAAACGATAAACCTATTTAGATCTATCATATATTTTATTTTGAATCTGTATATTTCATAGTTAAAATCTATCTTATTTGATTATTTTTGTTTTTACATGTACAATGATTAACTACAAATAGTTGTAACATATAGTATTATCTTAACGTCATTTTTCGCTACTACATCAGTCTTTCATGAAAACTCACATTATATATTCGATAAGTAGGGAAAATTAAATCGGAATATGTCATTCAGATATAACATCACGACTGGAATTGTTTGCTTACAAACTTCATTCAACTTCACTGATTTATTTAACCATTCATCAAAGATAAAATAATTACAGAAGTCTCGCACTGCACGCAATACACGTTTTAGAAGAGTGTATCACTTATTAAATCCAATAGATTATTTACATAGAAAAGATCATTTTTAATACGATAATCAAATGATCAAATAATACAAAACGAAGATATCAAAGAGCGAAGACAAGAAGAAAGAGCTTTTAGTTCCATTCTCTTACTGAAACTTATGTAAGTGTTAAACAACGTACAATGATTCCATCAGATGGTTGTATACAAGCAATTCAGTTTCAGAGATATATTTGAATTAAATACAAGATATTCTTCAACATCAAATCTCATCAAGAACGCAGACTTTGCTTTCAAGAACAAAATCATAAAAAAATACTACGAAAATTTTATAATCAGACAATCAGAAAAAAATGAATTATACGTCGAGAAGTTTGGATATTTTTCACGCTTTATAGAGCTGTTTTCACTGATGTTTTTTGAAAATAATAACAATAATCTAAAGAAAATGTGTGTAATATAGTTCATTTCGTTTCTCGGATATTTCTGTACAGAAAAATATGAAAATTTTCTCTTTTTTAGTCAAAAAAGATACACTACAAAATCTGCAAGACAAAGCTTTTATGATTTGTTTTCGTCTTTTCCTCTCTACGTGAATAACTGTGTAAATACATTTATATTGAGAAACGAAAAATGAACGGAGCCATGTCATGGACAAACCGTGCTTCTTCCAACATTTTCATTTTCATTTTGTAGTTTTTATTTACAGTATATTTCGTATTCAGATTCTACCATATAATTAATGCAGAATCAAATCAAATTGATGTTATGTGCTTCTCAAACATGAGAGAAAACAAAAAACTGATACGAGACTTTATATATTCAATGTATAGTTTTGCATTATGAATGAATTCGTAGGAAAGATTAAGTAATAAAGAAAAAAAAAGAATACATAAAATAATGACTTTTTACGAGGTGTGGACAAAATGAAATTCAACTAGTAGTTATTTTTTTTGCTGTTTGTATAAGGTACTGACAACATACAATTCAAATAAAAGTTTGTTCTTTTGTTGTTTTGTCAATTACTCAATTCTATAGTCTCTCTGTATTGCTTATTTAATCCGATGAAATTTCTCATATTTAGACTTTTTTTAACAAAATTTATTTTATACGTTGTTTATTTGCTTTTTTTCGGTTGAGTTTTTGGGATATTTCTTAGAGCAATATTTCTTCATTTTTCGTTCATTTCTCATACTAAAACTATTGTAAATACTTTTCTCAACTGTATGTCACTTTAGCATTTTTATTCTATTCTTGATTGTATCGATGAGGCTGAAGATGATATGCAAGATTAATATCTTAATCTACACACTCGGACATAAGTCAGAAATAGGTGACACGGGTTAAATTAACTGGCAACTAACTTCTAACTGAGACTTCAGCTGATATTTGAAAAGACACAAAAATGATTGTGGATAGGAGGTCGACTTCATTACTTGACATTTCAGTTCTTTGTAATATTTTTTTCAAAAATTTTATAAGTTTTATAGGATCCAAGTCAAGTGTATTATTTACAAAAAACAATCAGAAAATCAAGCTGTTCTGTATTTGACTTTTCTTATGAGCCAAAATCGAACTGGTAAACAACACTTTGATTTTATTTTTCATTAGAATAAACCATTTTATAAAGGGAAACATGAAGGGCTACTTCCTTCACTTCGATTCTGGTTCGGACGCAAATTGTCGAAAGTACCAGTTCCACCATGTTTACGTCCAAATTTGGAAATTGACGACCCACCACTCAGAACTACTCTGACATCATTGTCTTCAGAAGCAGATCAACCAAGAAACACTAGAGATCGAAAATGAATAATATGTCGGATAACAGTACCTTTTTATTTTCCTCTTTCCTTTGAACTGGTTTTGACTTTAGTTCAATCCCTTAGTATTTCTTCTTTCACACTTGCAGTTTGTGTGCTTTTATTTTAATCATGTGTGTATAGAAAAAAAAAAATTTCATAATTAATATATAATAAATTAATCAAGAATAACGAATCAAAACAGAATGATCATCTTCGCAGAGCTTCTGTTGTACAAAAGGTTACTTTTTATCTTGAGGGTGTGGGTGTGGTTATGAGTACTATAATCTTCTTATATTCATGCCCACGCTACACCGACACCCACATCCACACCTATACCCTCAAGATGGTTTTGCAAATGTCTAAGAGAATTTTAAAAGAATCACAAAAACTTTGTTGCCAACCCAATATATTAGTTGATAATAAAATATTTTCAAGATTGTTTTCTATACATTATTTTTTAATTTAATAGCAAATATAACGAATGCAAAAGACAAACAACGATGCTTAATAATCTAACATTGTCAAAAAATATATTTCTTCAATGATAGTATTATTCATGAACTTTTATTTAAAAACTTTTGATTGAAAAATCAAATAGTTGAATTATTCGATTTGTAAACAGTTTAATAAAATGAAACCTTCATCCAACACTTAAGAATAAACTATGACAAAGAATTATGGCTTATTTTATTTATTTTTTATCAGCATCAACAATATATTTCTTCAGTTCAGTATAGATTTCAAATCCACCGATAATAATATCACTAACAACAATCGAACGAGTGTTATCTATTTCTATTGATCCCAGTCCTCGATTGTTATTAATAATCTTTTGTTGAATTATTATTTTCATGAATAATTAATTCTTGATTTTGCTTTTCTTTTATCGATAAATTCAACTGATCAATCATTTTTGAAAATATTAAATTTCATTCAATAAGATTTTCGTTTAAACTATAGTCTGGTTTTAAGATATCAAGTTAAATATTCTTAAATAAGTTATTTCAATTTCATTCAAATATTTTTCTACATTTGTTCGTTCTGTTATCACATATATACATATAATCTATAGTGTGATTCATCATCTCCTTCTATATGTGCTCTCGTTCTTTCTCCCTCCTGTTCATGATATTTTTTCCTTCGTTCTACTATATGGATTTTTCCTTTCTTATCGATCATATATGTGTTGTTATATGCTATGAGATTTTTCCTCATCTTCTTCTTTTGATCCCCTGTGGGGGATATTCCTAATAGAGTGATCCACTATTATATATAAAACGTGTGCTTTTCTACGAATAAACATAAATATATGATTCATATCTTCACACTTTCATGCGCACAACTCCTATCTATTAATAAGCTAGTTCATTTTCTAGTTGTAACCTACCAATCGCATGTTTTCAAACTAGTCGCATGTCGACATTATCTATCAAAATTAATATTTTCTTTATTTTAGAATTTTAAATTTTAGTTGTCGTTCTTAGAAAACAACGAGGAAAAACTATTATTATTATTATATTACAGGTGCAACAAACATGGATAAGTCATTAACAAAACCATATCAAACGTTAGACGAAAAAGAATATATCGAAACAGGTAAAGCACTAGTTCAGATATTTGTTTTTAACTAAAATAAATAGTTTGAATCAATTTACAACATAACCTTTCAAAGTGTAAAAGTCTATTTTGGTTTGAATTCTTGACTTTTTCTTGTTAAGTTGTAGACGTTTTATTGAGCTTTTGGCCAGTAGCACTAACTTTCCGGTAACATTCAATTCTAAAACCTTAAAATTTTGCATTTGAATTTTACCGGAAAGTTGGTGCTACTGGCTAAAAGTGATATCACACTTGGGAAGGATCTCTCGCTAGAATCGAATTTTATTTGCTTTCTTAGTCATTATTAGATCTTTTTCTGATTTTAGTTCAAATTATCGATATAAAAAAATGTTTGAATCCTGATAACGTAGTTGTCAATTATCTACTTGATCGATCATATTCTGATATTGACGATGAAAAATTATTTTCAAATTCGTTCAAATTTTTACATGGTTACCATCAAACTCCAAATGAAACATTAGATGTCTCCTTCAATCAAATAGTTGATGAACCATTATCAGCTGAAAAACTAATTGAAATTATAAATAATAATCAATCATTAACACCTTATGTTGTTGATAGCTTAAAACGTTATCATGCTTTACATGATATGCATACAATAATTTCACAATGTTTAGATTTGCAAAACGATATTAATGATAAAACTATAGGTGATCAATTCGAAGATTTAATTGATAATCTAACAACACGTGTTTTATTAACGATAACAATTGAAAGTATGTCATACGAAAGTCAACGTTTGCTAGCTAATTTTATTAAAAGAAATGATTTACCAATACCCTTTACTTATTATGCATGGAATCCAATTCTTGAAGAATTGAATTATCAAATTAATTTCAATTGTTTAATTGAACCATTATGTTTAACAAGTGATCGTCTATATTTACAAATCGGCAGTGATCGATGTGCAGGTTTAGGTAAAACAAGTTTATTACCATTGATATTCAATGACAAACGTAATGAATCATTATTCACTGATGGTGATAGAAAATATCGTAATTCATGTATCGATATTTTATTTGGTAAAACAAAACAGTCATCATACACTATTTTTGATGTTCATGGTACAATTGATGAAAAAAATATATCGTTAATAAAAGCTATTCAAGTTTATACAGCACTACAAGTAATATATGTAACAGAAGATGATCTTCCTAATCCATCGAGTAATTCAAAAAATGACTTTTTGAATACTGTTATGAACTATTCATCTTATTCATTAAGTATACCGACAATCGTTGTTATATTTAGTTCCGATTTTGATAAAGAGGACAAAACACAACAATTAATTAATCGTTTTCAAAATCATTATGCAAACAAACACTTTTCAAATATTTATTGGTCGGTATCATCAATGTCAACTACAATGAAAGATTTAAGTAAACCCAAAAGAAGACGCTATGTGGAACGACTAAAAAGTCAATTTTCTGAACTATTAGAAGAAGTTGAAGGCAAAACAACAGCAACACATTTGCAATTTCGATCATGTTTTTCAATACAAGAACTTTATTTAAATATTAAAAATAAAAAACCCAATGACAAGTACACAGAATTAAAACGTATACATGTGAAATTTGACATTGAAAATCGATTAGAAGAATTATTTAAATCAAGTACAGATCAAACAGAAAATTTAAAAATAATGACACCAACAAGTTATTATCGTTCGGAAATGGATACAATAAAGAAAAAGAAATTATCAAATATTATAAATAATCCAAAAGTAATAGAAGAATTGGATATTGATTTAAGAAAACTAGAAAACGAAAAAAGATCAAATGCTGGTTTTACTCGATGTTCACTATTTACACTTGAATTATTGAATAATCGCACTTATATTGATTTGTTAATAACAGATTTTTATCTAGAAAAATGGCGATTAAAATACGTACCAGGAATTAAAGAAGAAAAAGAAAAAATTAAATCCGAAATAAATTTACATAAGAAGAAATTAGTTGAGCAACAGAAATTAGTCGATCAAGAAAACGAATCAGCTGCTGCTTCTAATGAAAGTGTAGATCAAAAATTTTTAAATGATTTTAAAATGTTATGTGAAGAAGATAAAAGATTAAAAGATCAGTTAGTAGAAGTTGATAAAAAACTAGCTAATGTTGATTTAACAATTGGTTTATTCTGTGACGAATTATTTGAATTATATGATTATTTTCATGATAACCAACCAGTAGAATTAGAAAACGCTCTTGAAGATTTTATTAAAGTGGCAAAAAATATTGCAAAATTGGTAAATAAAGGTTTTCCTATTCACATATTAAGATCAAGACCATTAATTTGTCAATCACGTTTAATGAAAATGGTACTGGAAAATTTATTTGTTAAGGAAGCTTCTCGATTAGTTATTTTAACTATTGTTGGCGAACAGTCATCTGCCAAGTCATCATTGTTGAATTCAACATTTGGTTGTAATTTTCGTGTTAGTGCTGGACGTTGTACAATTGGAATGTATTTAGGTATCTATTTTTGCATCATAGTTACAGGAGAAACGAGTTATTTGAATTTTTCTGCCTTAGTCACATTAAGATCCGATCAGTTTCAATCATCCTTCTTGAAGAATAAATAGGGTAAAAGTCAATCAACAATCGAATTGATGTAGTTATAGTTAGAATGTTATTTTCTGATGTAAATAGATAATTATTATATCACCATATATCCTGTACAATAGCTTTCTAAAAACTACGTACAACGAATTCACTCAGTCTTCAGTTTCGCTACTTACAGTTACTTTATGAAAAGAGATAGTGGTATATCAAAAGAATATATTGCAAGATTGATTATAAGAGGTATATACACAATAAAAAAAATAATCCAAAACGTAAACAATCGCATACATCTCAGAACACTGTCAAAAATATCTTGACTTTGCAAATGCCAACATCCCTACCCCTAAGCAATTATGATAAAGAAATCATTCTTTACAGTTGTAACTTCTCTTTGAAATATGAATCTACCCTTTCCTTCTATAATTTTAGGTATAGTTTATCACAAAGATTTAGCAATAATGATTCTGGATACTGAAGGTTTAATGTCCTTAGAAGAAAGTGGTTCAATATTTGATAGCCAAATGATAACCATGGCCATTTTAACATCTCATTTAGTTTTAATTAATCATAACGGAGAACTAAGTTCAAATCTGGAAGGTCTAATTGGTATATCATTATATACTAAATTACAAATACAATTATTACCGTTTAAACCAAAATTATTATTTATATTACGTGATCAAATGTCACGTGATGAAAAAATATTTCTTGAACAATTAAGTGAGTTTAAGGATAATTTACAAACATCATCAAATTTTTTAAAAGTATCAATCGATGATAAATGTGAAATAAAACAAGACAATATTGTCGTTTTACCATCAGCATTTAATAAAGATTTTCAAAAAGAAATAAATATAATTCAACGTTGGAGAAATCAAACATTTGCTTATGAAATAAATCAATTAAGAAAATATATACTTGATTATTTTCATAAACAACATATTCACGATAATTTTGGTCTTACCAATATTGATGCATTGTATAATAAAATATCAAGTAATTGGAAAACAATTGATGAATTAGGTCAAGGTTTGTTAGAATGTAAGTCATTGGCTGAACTAAATGTGACAAATGAATTAAAGTCAAAAGCAAATGAAATAATACAAGAAAAATCGAAATTATTATTTGAAGACGGAACAAAATTACTTCATAGTTTATTAATGGGACAAACGCAAACTACAGAACCATTAAATAATAATAGTACAAATAATACTCAAGTAAGTTCGGATATATATTTAAAAAACTTTATTGAAGATGGTTTCGAAAAATTACATGATTTGACTTGTAAATTAATTAAAGACGCAATTGATGACTATGAACAATCTGCACAAAGTTATTATGCTGATATAAAATCTAATATTCAAAAAAATATTGAACCAAGAATACTTTGTACAGAACAGTTATTAAAACAACGTTTCGAGCAAGATGTTTATACAATTGCAAAAGAAAATGCAGCATTAGAAATACAAAAACAATTATTGAATACTGCAAGAATATATTTTGATAAACAAACACAAACTATAACTGATATAAATGAATTAAATGCTGTTTTAGATGAAAGATATAAAGAATTATATAAAAAATTTGAAGGTGATATAAATTTATTAAAAAAATCAGAATCTGATATAACTAAAACAATAATAAATATCTACAATGGTATAATTAGAACAAGAAGAGGAACAACAGCAAATCAATATGATATTTATAATCTTTGTCTAATACTTGATCCTAGGACATATCCTGAGAAATTTCACGAACTGGAATCGATATATGTGTCAATACAATCATATTTAACTTATCAACAAAAATCAAATAAAACTGAAAATTTTTTAAAACATATTTTTAGCACCAACCCATGGAAAACACATCGTAAACTATTGGGTTGGTTTAATCATCTTAATCGTGATGATGAATATCAAAAGAAGATGTTTTTAAGCATATCAGAAGGTCTTATACCACAAGTCAATAACAATATTAACACAATGCTATTAACAATAAAACTATCGTATAATGATCCACAATTAATCACAAATCTAATTCAATATGTTGATGATTCTATTAAAATGCAAACTTCACCAATACAACAATATTGGACTTATCTAAATGTTCCACAAATAACAGCAGATCTTATACGTATGGCATTAAGATTTTTAATTGATCAAGCTAAACAAATAGCTGATCGTAAACATGAAGAATTAAAACAAGAATTGAATCAATTAAAAGAATGGAAAATTAATATACAAGAACAATTTTTATCATTCAAAGATTCATTCGAACAAGGTCAAAAATTTAAAACTGATCTACAAAAGCAAATTATTGAAGAAATAAAAAGAATTTATACAAGAATTATTATTGATGATGTGCACACAAAAATAACGAATAATAGTGAAATTGATCCTGATAAGATTGCAACTAATGCTTATAATGATAGTATTGGTTCAAATCCACCAAATGCTAATAATATAATGAAATATATAATCGATATAAATCGGTATTATTTAGAATTAGCATTAAATAAAATACAAATAAGTAAAGAAACAATTGTTACAAATGAAATTCATAGATTAGAAAAAATTATTTATAATTGTGTCGATAAAGCTATTGAAACTGTTGAAAAACATGATTGTCATAATATTCAACAAGTTTATCAAGATATCGTGAAAAATCTTCAACAGATTCTTCCAGGTTTTCGTTTATCACCAATGATTGGTATATCAACTAAAATAAAAGATCCAGATCGATTTAAAGAAAGTTTTAAACAACTATTATTAGGTCGAACAAAGATGTATCAAGAAATTATTGAATGCAAAAATATATTTGCTACTGCAGCGACAGAATCATGTATAAATCTAATAAAAACACGCCTTGGTTGTCAATCGAGATGTCCAGGTTGTGGAACAAAATGTGATAATACTGAAATTAATCATACAGAACATTATAGTTTACGTCATTTAGGAGGTGCATTTTATGGTTGGAAAACCTGTGAAACAAGTAAACCATATTTATGTTTATGTTATCAATTGTGGTTAACAACTGCTGTTTATCATGGTGAAACAAAATTCCATCCGAGACAAAAATATTTTTCAGAACGCACACCAGCATGGTTTGATGATTTAGAACAGAAATCAAAAACAGGTGATTTATATAACGATTCTACACTACCATTAGAACAAAGACGAGCTTGGATGGCTGTACGACATGCTTTGATTAAACGTTACTCAACATCTGGGATGAAAGATTTCGAAAATTATAATGAAAAATTTTATCCTAATATTGAAAGTGTATCAGCTGATTTTGAGCCTAAATGGAATGATATTCAATCATAATGTATTTACACTCATATCATAAACGATGGTTTAATTTTCAGCAAAACAACATATGATTATTTTAATGACATTTTACATTCTTTTGTTTGATGTTATTTCAATAAAAAGAAAATAAACATTATATTATTGATTTATAAAACCATTTTAACATATTTTTATTTAAAGCGAAGGATCCGAAATGTGGGTGAGGATGAATGCGAGTGTGAATGAAGAACGGATACACACATTCACACCCGACTTTGATTATGCTTGGATAGAACTTTTGCTACTTATTGATAAGATCCATCCATTTTTAGAGTTTTGCTTTTGCATATATTGAATTTCGAGTTGAATTTCTGCATATTTTTCATGTCTCTTAGGAAAATACATCGTATCGCGATGAACGATTCTGTTTTTTATATATCTGATACAAAAATACTAACTGCGCATAGAGAAATAAAGAACGTGACTAAAAGTGAGTCCTGACAAAGCAGATTATTTAACAGGACTAGACAAAATAATATCAAACTAATCATGACTTATTCATTGACGTCAATCATGTATTGACGATGATAGTTGATATCTTATTTTCATTTAAAACACGTCCGATGATTAATGTAGACTTTGATCAATTCTTCTTTCTCTTTATTACGTTCTTCTTCAATACACTCAAATATTTTTCTATGAAACTAAAAACAGAAAAAGATCATTTCGAATTTCGAAAAAAATGAAATGAAATGAAAAGTATGAAATCAAATGATGAATTTTGTTGATTAATCCAATCTGAAATCAATTATTTGTCTTATCTACGATGAAACCTTCTCTAGAACACTATTTTTTCTCTTTGTGTTATCTTGGAAGAAATGAATGAGAGAGAAAAAGAGAGATATATAATTAGAGAGAAAATCTACAACGAGTGTTATTTTGTTTTCATCCAAGACGAAGAAGAAGTAGATTATTTTATCAGTTGACCGATTTATCAAAAAATCCTTTAGAATAATGCGGAATATGTATGTATTTATCATTATTCTTCTGTTCATTTTCAAAAATGAAACATCAGGTATATACTTTTATTTATCACATACTGAAGATCGGCTATTACACAAAAATGACATTATTGGTTAGAGTTTAAGTTGAAAAAAATTGAGTCAAATATTAGTTAGAGAATTTGTCCCTCTCTTTCGCATGTTAGATTCAATTGAAATGATTTGACATGAATAAAATCACAATGTGTTTCATAAGAAAATGAGAAATGACTTTGAATTTGAAAGGCATTTTGTTTAAATCTCAATCAATTTCGATAAAGTCATTTTCATTCTAAACAATTCTTTTTTCCCCCTTCCAATTCATTTTCGTTAGATAAATGAAAAACTATTTGATTATTTTTTTTATCTTGAATGATAATCATGTGCTTTCAAGTATCGAACATAATAATTTTTCTTTTACAATAAAAAACTCAACAAATAAAGTTAATCTTCTTCGATGAAGTCAGTCCTCTGTAAGTTCATTTTTACAAATCATCCGAGAAAATATAACAATAGTCATAGAAATATTTTCAAAATTAATCTCTATGAATTTTTACAAGAAAAAAAACATAAATTAACAGTTTCATTTCTTATACAGATTTTATTTAATATTCTTTCTATTTTTCTCGTTTTAGCTCTTTCATTCAATCAACCAAAGTTTTCTGAAACACCCATTTGGAATTCGAATGGAATTATCATTGCTAATCGATCGAATGTTGGTCGAACTCCACGCGGCATTTTTGTAAACACAAACAACACAATCTATGTCGCTAATAAAGAAAATAACACAATTATAATGTGGCAAGAGGGGAGTGTCAATCCAACAAAGATCATTCACGGTAATTTTACAAAACCCACCTCTCTCTTCGTGACATCGAATGGTGATATTTATATTGATGATGGATATAAAAATGGTCGAGTACAGAAGTGGATAGCAGAAACAAATATCTTTGTCATGGTGATGAATGTCAGTTCAGAGTGTTATGGTCTGTTTGTCGATATCAATGATACTCTTTATTGTTCAATGTATTATCATCATAGAGTAGTGAAAAGAGCATTAAATGATGCTGTGATGGCGTCAAATCGTGTTGCTGCTGGAACAGGTAATCCAGGATCACACTCGAAAGAACTTACTGGTCCTCATGGAATCTTTGTCGATGTAAACTTGGATTTATATGTGGCAGATTGTTACAATAACCGTGTTCAGTTGTTCCAGTCGGGAGAATCAAATGGCATCACAGTAGCTGGAAATGGATCACTAAATCCAACAATTACACTTTTTTTTCCAACTGGAATTATATTAGATGTTGAAAAATATTTATTCATTGTGAATCTAGGTAATCATCGCATTGTTGGTTCAGGCTCGCATGGTTTCCGATGTTTAGTTGGATGTTATGGATGGGGTTCACAATCCAATCAATTGAATGATCCATTTAGTTTGAGTTTCGATCATTCTGGAAACATGTTTGTTACTGATCAATGGAATGATCGAATTCAAAAGTTTTTATTGATGAAAGATTCTTCTGGTAAGTTGAAGAAAAGTTGAATGAAATGAAGAGATGTGAATAGATAAGTAACACAAGTTAATAAAGACATTTCAATATAAAAAATGAAAGAAAACAAGAATAGTTGACAAAGATCAATTAAACCAATATATGTAAAAGAATGTGTCAAAGAAAATGAAGTGTTCAAATTAGACAGAGCCATGTTTCAATTGTCTAAGACAAACAATCGTCGCCTTTTTATTGAGATTAAAGAATAGAGAAAGAAAAGTTCTATCCTTAATGTAGTGGTGGAAAGGACTTTCATGTTTTATTTTATATGTCTCAAAGAATATTTCATCAATAAAACAGTTTTTATCGAGATAAAATCTCTTCGTATCTTGGTTGATATAGTTTTAATATTAAATTATTCTAGGATTTAGCTTCATGTTTCATATTTCGATATTTTTTTGATTCTAGAAAAATAGAATAAGTAAAATATTACAACTCTAGCAACTATTTTTCCTTCTTTTTTTGTGCAAAATGAATTTAGTCATTGTTTCTCTTTAAGAGAGATAAACTTCAATTCTAAATATTAGAAGAAATGAATTTTTTTATAAAGAAATTTTTGATTAATGATTTGTTCTTTGGATAGCTGTCATAATATTTAATTACAGAGAGTAAAATTGAATAGTTGAAGTCAATTTATAATGTGATATATGCAATTGTTAATGAGATATATATGTTATTATTACTTCTATAATCGTAAACAAACAATATTTTCTACAAAACAAATAAAATCTATTGAGCTGATTTGGAATAAAAATATTTATTTGTTTAATTAAATTCATTATTAAAGATGATCAATAGAAAAAAATGATTTTTAATCAAATCTATTATAGATTGCTCTTAAATGAATATTTTGCATCAGTCAGTTAATAAAGTTTTGTCTACATTTCTAAACTACGATGAGAAAAAGCTTTTCTGATTGATAAAAGATTTGTTATTTTTACCAAATATTTATTTTACTTTTTCTGGAAGATGTGTAACCAATGGTTGTTTTCGTTTTAAGAGAATTATTTATTGTTTTCATATGAAAATAAAGATTTTCTTGTTTTGTTCTTTATTTCATAGGAAAAATCTTGAAATCTGTTAATTACTATTAAGATTACAAAGAAAGATTTGTTTTATTTATATTGAACAAAGACGAATTATTGTGCTCTTTGATGAACTTGTGAAATTTCTTGAGATAAAAAATGGTCGTGCGACAATTCATACAAAGAGCGTTTGTAGAGAGACTAGAAAGCTTTTTGTGGATTATAAAAAATCGTGTTGTTTCTCTCAGTTTTCGTTTAGTACCGATATGACGTGCAGTGACATTATTTTTTATTTCTTAATGAAATTTACTAAGATAAATCGAGTTATATTCCCAATAATATAGACAACTGAAATAACATAGGGACATTTATTGTTTCCCTTTGATTTCTGCTTTAAATTAACTTTAAATGCTTATGACAAAAAAAGTTTGAGAAACTTTGAACAAATGTTTGAAAACTGAAATTTGTGTTTGAATAAATATTTCAAAAAAAAAGATCTGCAATAATGCATTTTCAAAGTTATTTTCAAAAAAATCAGTTTTATAATTAAAATTCACTTTAGAAAGGCAAATGAAACGTTCAAAATTGCAAAGAAACACACTTCATTGATAAAAACTTCTTGTTTTCTGCTGCTTATTTTTCCTTAAATAAATAATTTGTTTTATTCAACTATTTTCCTTGATACAACTTATTCAGATCTGCCACAAGATTTTTCAACAAAAAGTAGTAATAAAATTTTTAATCTAAAATGATCAACATCGATGTTTTAAACAAAAATATTTTTACAATATCGCAATTCATATTTGATATGAAAATTAATAAAAATCATTCCTAAAATCAATGTTATCAAACATTTTCAAATGTCTTTTTATGGAAAATTTCTTTGAAGAAAATCATTTTTCTTGTACGAATATATAAATTAAGAATTTTATTTCGTTTCCAGTTCTTCTCTAATATTTTTTCTATTTTTTTCGTTTTTAGCTCTTTCATTCAATCAGCCAAAGTTTTGTTCAGCAGCCATTTGGTATTCTAATGCAACTACCTTTGCTAATCAGTCGATTATTGGCCGGGCTCCTCGCGGTATTTTTGTAAACACGAACAACAAATTCTATGCTACTAATAGAGAAAACAACGCAATTCTAGTGTGGGATGAAGACAGTGACAATCCAACAAACATTATTTGTGGTAATTTTACAAAACCCACTTCTCTCTTCGTGACATCGAATGGTGATATTTATATTGATGATGGATATAAAAATGGTCGAGTACAGAAGTGGATAGCAGAAACAAATATCTTTGTCATGGTGATGAATGTCAGTTCAGAGTGTTATGGTCTGTTTGTCGATATCAATGATACTCTTTATTGTTCAATGTATTATCATCATAGAGTAGTGAAAAGAGCATTAAATGATGCTGTGATGGTGTCAAATCGTGTTGCTGCTGGAACAGGTAATCCAGGATCACACTCGAGTGAACTCAACGGTCCTCGTGGAATCTTTGTCGATATGAATTTGGATTTATATGTGGCAGATTGTTACAATAACCGTGTTCAGTTGTTCCAGTCGGGAGAATCAAATGGCATCACAGTAGCTGGAAATGGATCACCAAATCCAACAATTAGTGTTGATTGTCCCAATGGAGTTACATTAGATGGTGAGAAATATTTATTTATTATAGATCAGTACAACCATCGCATTGTTGGCTCAAGCTTGAATGGTTTTCGATGTTTAGTTGGATGTTATGGATGGGGTTCACAATCCAGTCAATTGAATGATCCATTTAGTTTGAGTTTCGATCATTC